TTGGAGTGCCCGGATGTCTCGGGGGGTCGTTGGGTGCGAGTATTTCTGGGTTTATGGTAGGATTACTGCCTTTGCGTGCGTATTCGTCTGGGTTGCACATTTCGGGGACAGTCGGGCTTCGTGAAGCAGTAAACCCTCTTATTTTAGTTCACAGTAAAGTACTCTGTTCGGTTTGTGTCGCGGATTTATCGTGGGACGGTATGATGTTTATCTTTTCAGGGTACAGTACCTGACAACCCCCCTTTTTTTGTTGCATAAATGAAGTGGGCTCGACTTGGCCGTGTCAAAAAATGTGTGTACTGTACTTGGAAAAGATTTGTTTTGGTCTCTCTGGGGGTTATTTATGTTCTTAATTTGAAATTGTGATGTTTGTTTTGTCTTTATTCTAATGAGTGTCAAATTATATATGCAATGAGGGGACTGAAAGACCTTGGGAGTAGATCATTGCATAATCAGTTGATGCTTTAGCATCAATTTGAATGAGAATAAATGTATACAGTGCATTATTAAGGAAAGGAAACGCAAGCACCTTTTATTCAGTCAATCGAATCTACAAACAAAAGAGCCATTTCCACAATTTTCTTCAAGAGAATCTCTTGAGTTTTGTTGTTGTTGTTCAGTGTGTGATGATCCATTCTCTCTATTTTGGGATGTTTGATTGAAGTATATCTGATTTACACTTTCAAATGTGGTAATGGAAAACTTCCATGTACTACATTATGACTTGATGAATCCATAGGTGTAAGGAATTTTTCAAAAGTTTTGTCAGTATGTATGGTTTTTAATTTAAGCAGATGGAGGTTGTGAAACTTTAGAGTAATGTTTGATTATTTTCTGACCATTGATGTTGTGCAGTATTTGATTTAGCAAGGTGGGAGAAAAAAGAGACTGGGGAATTGAGGAAAATGTTCTAATTTTTCTGACCAGTTTTATTATTTTTGGAGGACTTGGGGAAATGAACTGTTTCAAACAAAGAGGCCACCTGGAAGTTTTTCATTCAAATGAAAATAAAATTGTGTTATGATGTGGGACATTTTTGTGTTACTGATTCTGAGCATGAAAAGTGTCGAAAAAATTATTTAGTGAGGAAGAAGTTGCTGTAATTTGAAAAAATGCTATAAAATGTAGAGACTTCCTTGGTCATGTTATGCATTCCATTTGAACAGTTTTTTTTTAAACTTGAAAACGTTGGTACCAAAAGAATTTCATTTTCAAAGTACTGACAACAGAAACCTTGGTAGGGATTTTGGACCCTTTGGTGGTACCTGTGGGAGATCAAGTACTTGAGACCCACGAAAAGTCCCATCTAGACTCACCATTGAACACGGTCTGCACTGTACCGTGGGACCTTTTGTCCATGAAGCAGATGAGCATCCCCTGACCATGTTCTCATTTTGGCACAGCGGAATACAAAGCCATAGTCCCTTTCCCAAGTGGAGAGTTTGTTTAATAGTGTCTGGAGACACTGTCTGTTGGTGATGGTGCTTGGAGCTGCCTCCAGTGCCACTGCCTGCTCCACTGCTGCAAAAAATGCCACCAAGGCCTGGTACCTTGAGTGGGACCAATACCCATGATGCTCCACATGTCTCAAGTTCCTTTGCTGTTGATAAAAAAAAGTAATGGGGGAATGAAATCAACTTTGTTACATCACTGCAACAGAGCACAATTCTTTTTTAAAGCAAAAGTATTGTACGCTTTTTGTTTAATTTCCTTGAAATTGATTAAAATTTGACTTACAGTTGGAGAAATAGCTGGGCTCTGGAAGCTCTCATAACCACTTTCTGAAGCTTCAGGTCTGGCAACTTGATCTTGATAACAAATTTGAATCTCTTGTGGGATGGTTAACAAAATGCAAAGGTTGTTTGTGGTGTCCATGGTGGACACAGTGAGAGTTTGAGGATCCCTGTTGCACCATATTTGTACCACTTGCTGGTGTTGGGTTGTGGTAACCTGTATTTGGTTGTCCAACTGGACCAACAGATTAGCTCTTGCTGGCCATGAGATCATTTGTTGTGGAGATACCAGGGTGGTACTCAGTTGAGTCTGGGTCCCAGCTTCACACAATCTTACAGCAGGCTTTTGATGTGATGGTTTTGGTAGAGAAACCTGGCAACCCTTTGATTTCTTGGTGCTGATTTTGTTATGAAGTTTGAGGCTGCATGTTTTTGAGGGATCTTGGGATGATTCAAGTGGTCCTGAGTTTGTACCTCTTGAACACGACGGACCATACATTTAAAAACAGTGACGTACACCCCAACAAAGTAACTTGACTCGAAACTAATACGGTGAGTCGGAACGTCACCACATTTAATAAAAGGGATTAACTAACCCCCTTTTAGTGAAGGCCATAACAGTTAAATTTTTCAATTTGAATTCAATTTTCTCTCACTGGTAGGTGTGAAGTCAATCAGCACTGCCTGATCACCAAATTTGAAAAATTGAATGCTTCTCATTTCGAAACAAGATGAATAACTTCCACAACAAAATGTGGTTTGTGCCCTTCATGAGCGAAATCCCTTGGCTGACTGACATGAAAAGAGAATCCAATGCTCAGGAATGCCTTTGTGACTGAACTGTGGGCCACACCCAGTTTTTTCTCCCCTCTGATTCTGATTTTTATATTTTTCAATGCACAGGAAATTACTCTGTGGTTGGGAAAACTGTGGGAGGGAATTCCCATCTCTTTTTTTTATAGCGTAGGAAAAAAATCTCCTCTCCTGTTTCTGTACACAGAAGCTCACTAATTTGGTCCAGAACTCTGAAAATATTCATTGAGGTTCGTGAAGCCATCTGGTCATATACACACACAAATATGTTTGATACTGTTCAAGTTTTTTGCTGACATGGCTCTTCAGAAATGTTGCCATGCTTTTGGATAAAAATACAATACTGTAGTTGAAATGGACTTGCAAATTTTGCTTATTCAAATTCTTGAAGGATTTTCTAGTGCCAGTTATTGCTCCAAGTGTGAAGCAGCATCCAGAAGAAAAGTAATGAACTATGTAGTACCTGTACACCACTGCATATTGGAAAATGTTGAAAATAAATGGTTTCTTGTATTTATGTCATATATTTACTTTCTTAAAGCCTCAAGTACTGTACAGCATTTTCTGAGGAAGCACTTGGTGTGTTCAAGTTGAATAATTGAATCAAAATTCAACTTCACTCGTTTTTCAGGCCATCAGTAGAATACTAACTGCTTAGCAGGTTCTCAATTTTTTTTTTTAAATCATCTTCTGATGCTAAAAGGAGTAAGTCATTCAGAAACACCTGCACTCTCGCTTCTGAACTTTAGATGATAGACAGCTCATTGAACCTTTCATTAAATCAAGAATTTAAATCAAAGTCACTTGAAATTTAAGTTTAATGTTGGTTATCTCATGGTTGATATTGGTTGAGTGAATTTGTTTAGTGTGCTTTTCACTCGTTACCAACCTGATTCAATGCTTTGGTGAACCAGGTAATTATTTTTTTGCACAATTGATTTTCCTATGAATGCATTCAAATGAATAGGGCAGCCTGATGGGTTTAATTGACTGCATTGAAACTTTTTGCCCCAAAAAATTGATTGGATCATAGTGCTAGTGAGAGAAGGTAAAGCCAGTATTATTTGTACGTGAATGAATGATTTTTCTTTTGCTTGGGACATTTTTCCTAGTTGTAAAGCTGTGATGCTATGCAGTGAAGTACAGTAGTAAAAAATCCTTCTCATGGTTCAAGGATAAAAATCTCGAAAAGGTCAGGCAGGGGATACGTTTGCGATACAGTAATTAGTTGCGAGGCTTGCTCTAAGCATATGGGATCATCATGAACCAAGGACACCTTGTTGACCAGGAAGGGATTATCTCCATTCACTCAACTAGTTTTTTTCTTGTGCATGTTGCTAATCTCCCTTTTGTATCAAGAAATGCGGGTCTGACCTTCACCGGAAGTTAACGGTGCACTTCATTCAAGTCCAGTTTCCTTCTACCCCCATGATGCCTGTGAGGGTCAAATAACTTGTTTGGATGAGGGTCGTTGTGGGGATCGGAGGTTGTTCAATTTTACCACCCGCGCGCAGCTTGTATGCGAATTCTGGTCCCGTCCCCGCGTCCGTTATTTTGTGAAGGGAGTGGGCGGGGCGAAGGCCGCTGCACAGACGCACCTCTGAGGAAATGGCGTCAGTCTGTGTCTGGATCTTGTGGAGAGCAGACGTCTGTGTGTGTGTGTTGGGAAGAACGTTTGTGAAGAGCGGGTTTCCCCCCCCCCCTGGAGCGAGTGCGTCATTCACCTTTTTAGTGTTACGTCATTGGTGATGCGTTTCGAAGCGGATCTAGTGTGGTGGTGATTTTTTGCTTGTGGTGACGCATCAAATGAGTGAAAGTTCTTAGAAATATGTGAAGTATTCCAGAGTGAAGGCATTTCTGCCGGAAAGGGCCTTTTATTTCCTCGAAGAATCCCCACTGTTGGCGCTAGTGAAGCACCCCGGATTTGGATTTCTTGCTGTGATGGGAGGAGAAAATATTTTTTTGGAACTCTCCAGTCTTATCTTTGTTTACCAGTTATTCCTTCGACGTATGTTTTGCGTTGTTGAGAAAGAAAGACGGCGTACGAAAACAAACGTCCCGCAACTAAAAATCCCTCGCAACGTATTTAAAAGTTTGTTTTCGTATGCATGGCGTCATCGTGAAATTGAATCGACGTGAGTCTCACTCATGCGTGAGGATTTACATGCTTTACGGTGAATGTTCAGAAAATAATTTTTCACTGATTTTATTCTTCGAGTGAAATAATACCTGTAATGGTTTTTGTCATCAATGATGTATTCGCTGGAAGAAAAAATTGCTGCGAAGTTTGCAGTTGATGAGTCAACTTGTTCCAGGTAATGCAGATGAGAGAGATTCTCCTTGAACTGGCTAGAGGTCGCTGGTGTGTCCCATGTGATGTATATCTTCACCTTTGTTTCTGGGAATCGAATTTCAAGTTGTGAATCCAGGAGAGGAGGTTTTTGACAGGATTTTTTTTTTTTCTTCGTTCCAGATTATTTACGCCTGGGAAGTATCTGCGAGTCTGTCTTAGAGGTCGCTTCCGTGTGTGCGTGTGAGCGAGAGTCCGCGGCAGGGGGCGCTGTGACATGCGCCCGACGACTCGAGTGACATCTTGCGGGCGCGGGTCGTGGCGTCAAAGCGTTGCGCATCAACGTCGCAGCCTCGGCTTTTGACGACGGTCTCTCCCCGAGGTTCACTCACTTTGGAGTAGCGAACCGAGGGGACGGAAACCCTGAGGGCCACTCCAAAAAAAAAAATTCTGCGCCAAAAAAGATTAGATTCCTGCCCTCCAGGGTTTTCGCTGCGAACAGCGGTGGAAAAGGAGTGTGTTTTTTTTTTTTAGTCGACGAACAGAGAACTTTTTTCCTCTTTATTTTCGTTCGATTGCCTCTTCGGACGACGAGAAGGTGAAGTGAGGGTTTTGCGTCGTTCTTCGGATTCTGGGCTTGAGAAGGAAAATGGCGACGTTCAAAGCCCGGAAACCGTCAGGAACGACTTCCGGAAGTGGAGATTCTAGAACTCCGGTGGATGTTCGCACTTCCGACTCATCCGTCATCAAGATGGGCATGTTGAAGAAGCAGAAGGTTCGCCAGTATTTTTATGATTTTGTTCGAAACGGTTTCCGTTTCCTTTTTTGGATTCGGTGATGAGAAATGGGATTTTCTTCGGTTGAAGGACTGATGTATAGTTTTTTTTAATCTGTTGGATCGAGGTTTTTGTTTTTCTATTGAAAATTTATCTATCAGAAAAAATATTCATTATTTTACTTCATTGAATATTCATGAATAGATTTAATATGATTAATTCGGGGTTTATTTCCGACGAAATTTGTGTGTTAATTCTAGACATCGTCAAGTTTCTCTTTATTTCTGAAAACGTAGGGTTTTTGTTGATACAACTCATTTTTTCTGGTAAGGAATCACTGAGGAAGTCAATTAATTTTTTTCATAAAACTGCTGTGGAAATGTAAATTTTCTTCTGTAGGCTAATGAACAATTGAAATTTGATCTTAGACATTTAATCCGAGAGTTTTTTGTAAGAAGTATTGAAGACGCTTTTGGTACTCTTGCATAATTATTTATTTCTTTGTGTCGTTTTTATTATTTTGCATAGCTGGTTTTCAAGATTTTCTAAATAATTGACAATTGAAGCTTGACGCACGGTATTCTTGGGTGAATTTCACTTTTATATTGAAGTCATTTTCTAGTACAGTATTTGATTGAAAAGGCTTTCTTACAAAATGGACAGTAGTTGAGGTTCAGGTGAATCAATGGAGGCATCATAATCATTGATTCGCTCATTTACCTTCTCAACTGGTATCGCATTCATTTCCACTTTGCAATGAAGAAAAAAAGTTTCCCCCCCCCCCCTTCAACACCACACCAAGTACAAGTTTTGTCTGCTCTGCAAACTTAATCATGTGCCACGTGGAATAGGACTTGGTTTCCTCCAGAGCAAACAAAAAGAGAGTAAGACGCGATACGATCCTTGTTTGCTGCGAGCATAAGAAACTGCAGTGTGGAAAATACCGTCTGTTGCTCTGTGTGCTTGTTTGTCTTCATAGTCTCTGTGCAAAGGTAATATGGCGAATGCGAAAGCCTCATATGTGTCTTTGTATGTGGCACCAAGAATAGCTGAATGTTTCGCGAGAGATATTTATCCTAGAAGTATTTTATCCTTCTCCACATGGCGGAGTTGATGAGATGAAGCACAGTACTCGTATTTACTGTGTAAAGTACAGAAATGTGAGTCTTACTGATCCTATGATCGTTGATCACTTGACTCTTCTGCAGGGATACAGAATATTTCCATTGATTTCGAATTGCAGCACATATATTTCTATTGATTGCAATATGAGGTTTCATAATTGGTCTCGTTTCTCTCACGTGTAAAATAACGTCATTGATTCCTGGAAGTAGCTTCAACAGCTTAAAAATGAGCAAAACTTATCTCCACAGAAATTATGATCGAATCAACTTGAAATGTCACATTTCAGAAGCTTTAAAATCAGCATTGTTTCTTACGTGTAAGATTTTTTTATGGTATCTTATGATTTTTTATTAGGTTTTGAAATTTCGGAATGGTTTTCCTGTCCCTATCTGAATTCTCTGAAGAACAACGCATCATAAGTCGGATTTTCTGGGGGGCCTCTTTGCTTGTATTTTATTGACACAGGAAAGAGAAGAGCAGTAAAAAGTAAATGAATGTGTTTTGAAAGAAAGTGAAAGACTAATTGGACAAATGCAGCCTTGCCTCCAATTTCAGCATTCTTTCAACTCATTTGAAAAGTAATTATACTCCTAGAATATCACCAATTAAAATTTTCTGCAATTCTTTCTTCCCTCAGAAAAAAAAATTCTTCGTTTCCCTAACTATTTTTTTGCTGGTTTCTTGAAGTTCAACTTGAGGAGATTAAACTTTTTGATTCATCGGTTTATTTCATCAATTTTTTCCCTTATTTTCGTTAAAGGGATTTGATAATTTCTGTGGACCTTTTTTCGGTATGTTATGCTGGAATAAGTTATGCTCATTTTTTGCAATTGTGGTTATTATTTGCGGAAATCAATGAGTTAATTTTGCATGTGAGGGAAACGAGACCGATTGAGAAGTATTTTTTGTAATTTTCAACATTCAAGTTCCAAAAGTAGTGTACAGTACTTGGAAGAAGCATGTGTGAATTCTTGAAAAGGTTTTTTGCATTACTTGTAGAATATCAGCATATTTTGTAATTTTCTGAGATCGCTGAAGAATAATGCGAATTGATTGCTGTTCATTATTGTTCGGATCCTATTTCCACGAAGATGTTCAATTTTATTTTCCCGTCGTGTGGTTTCCCCTGCTCATGCAAATTTACCTCGAAAGGCGCGTGTCTGAAATAACCTTGAGTTTTCTTGTCTTGGTGCTGAAAATCCTGCTTTTCTGTGAAATATATTTTTTATTCTCTCGATTATCTCTCCCCACACCCAGTTTTCCGCGCGAATGAAATGCAAAGGAATAAGTTGATCGGTTGAATTTTCCGAGTCAAAAGTGTGCTCTGGAATTTCAGAAGGGGTTTCCCGAATGGTTTTGTTTTAACCTTTTAACGAATTGGAAATTGTTACATGTTTTATTCAGCATGCTCATCGTATAAAATTGCTGCCCCACCTTTTATTCAAGAAATTATCAGTTTTCACATTTTAGAAAATTTTCTCCATTATGACCGAAAATAATCCCTCAGCCTTTTTTTTCTTATATCAATTGCATTAAAATACTGCTTTTAAAATATTGCGAATGTTTTTCATGGACAGTTTCCGCATTTTCTCACCATGCATTAAAAAAGTACTGTGTAGTACTTGCACTGAAAAATGCCGATTTTTTAATAAGATTCTTGCAATCACCGCGACGTGAAGTGTTTTAATTTTCGCATTTTTCTTGGCATCAATTTGTTTTTAAATTGTCTTTCCATTTTTCCCCACCAGATTAAGTGAGAAGGGTTCTCTGTGGATTTTAAAATTTAAATTTTCTGTCAGTTTTGAACTGCTACGGAATTGTGATTATTCTCTCCTTTGTGATTGGAATTTGCATTTTTATTCGAAGAGGGAATGTAATCATCATGGCGCAGTTCTGATTAATTTTTTCATTTGTAAATTAGGGAAATTGATTGAATGAATGAATGGGAGTTATCAAATTTGCTCACCCCGCATGTTATCTTGTGTCGATACCACGTGTCTTCTGTTCAATTTCCGTAACTGTAGTTTTGTTCCGAATTTATTCTTGTGGATTTTCAAATACTGTACTTTCTTCCAGGGATTGAAAAGCGACCTTGAGCGAATTCAAATTGATTTCGCATCAAAGTGATTTATTTCTACCTCTCCCACCGCAGCCATTATTCGCTTTCACTCTCTTTTTTTTAGAAACTAAAATAATCGTAGTCGTGTGTGTGTGTGTTTTATTTTATTTTTGTTCTTCGGAAATGTAGAAGGAAGGAGTTCAAACACGTGGAGCTGGTATCGATTTTTTCCTGCTCCTCCACCTCCTTCTCTTCCTGTTGTCGTGAGCCTGGGCTTCGATGCATGCGAAACTTCCTTCATTCCTTGGCTCATTCCCCGTCTTCCTCACTTCCTGTCTTCCTTCCTGTTTCCTCCCCCAACATCATGTGTGTGTGTCGACTCGTGTCGTGTGCAGTTCCGGAAAAAGCTGAAGCGATTTTGAATGAGAGCTGCTCTAGCTCATCTCAATGGATTTTTCATTCATGTTAATTACTGTAATTTCACTCGTTGCAGATGTTGTTTGAAAATTTTTTCTTTTACAGTATATCGAAGCTTTTTTCCAAGGTCCCCCGAACGCTTCGTTGTAACTAGATAATGTTGTACTACTTGATTTTAAAATTCGTAACCGTCAGCTGAAAACTTGAAAATTCAGTTTTCAAGGTTTATGGGGCTGCTTAATTTGTTTACAAGGTTTACAAGAATGCTAGAAGAATGTTACAAGAATGGTTTACAAGGTTGTTAACAAGAAGTGGATGAGGGAAATTGCGCTTTTCTTGACGAAGCGCATGCCGGAACGAATTATTTCCGTTATGTGGGGGGACCAACTGTATCTCGTTCACGGCGTCATGGACATGTAAGCCTAGAAATGCAGTTATGTATTTGATTAATTTTTTGGGGTGAAAAGTTTTGGGCTGAAACTTTGGCATTGAAAAAATAAAAATTAATTGAGGGAAATGACGATTGAAGGACTGGGATTTGACTTTTTGGTTATACAGTGATTTTTGTTGAAATTTGTTTTTGAACGTTCTTTGAATTGATTATTTATTTTCCTCTCCATTCCGACAGACGAACAAGAGGAAGCATTTCGTGCTGCGAAGTCGCGATGACGTGGGCTCTGCTCGACTCGAATACTACGACTCGTACAAGAAGTGGAGCAGCGGCCAGGCGCCCAAAAAGTGCGTGTACTTGGACGACTGTTTCAAGATTGCGCGACGGATCGACACGCGAAACAAGCTGGCTGTTGGGCTGTACTTGAGGGACGCCACTTTTTCCGTCGTTTGCGACGACGAGGACTCCTTGCAAGACTGGCTCCAGCACTTGCTGGAGGCCAAGTATGGCGATGATGGGGAACCCAATCAGGGTACTTGAGATTATTTCGTTGTTGTCAAAAAAAGAAGAAAAAAAACATCGGGACTTGAAATATTGGAACAAATATTCAATATAGAATTAATCAGCGTTTCATTATTTTTAATAAGCCGTATGAAAATTTCGTAGACTGAGTACCGTATAATAACCAAGTACCGTATTTTGTTTTGAAAAGAGTTCCTGTACACATTATAAAAAATACATCGGGACCATAAATAATTAAATATCCATCCAATCAAATCGAGAAGAAATTGAAAGGCGTTTATTTTCTAAAAAGACATTTCGTAGACTAACCGCAACAACAGCGGAAAATGAGTTTATGCCATCAAATTTACTTATTCATTGCCCAATTTTTTCCGAATGGAATTTTCTCAAATGTGAAACGCATTCTCGTCAATTTAGGACTTTTTCGCATGAAGAAAATCCCGTTTTATCGTTTTTATCATCGCTTGTGAGAAGTTGTCTTTTCAGCGATAATTGTTGCAAATTAATTAAACTAAAACCATGAATTTCTTGGGAATTGAAGTTCGAAGTTGATTAGTATTTCACTTCAAACTTTTTGAATTGCTCGTTTCTTCCTGGAACACCTACTTCCTGAATAACAACAGGAAGAAGATGTTCGGGATGATAAATATGATGTTCTTTCGAAATTGCGGACCGAAACTAGTACAAAAAAATTGAAGCCAACGTGTAGAAAGGTACTTTGATTTTTCTAAGGAATATTTCCGTGAGTCTACGTGGAATTTTTTCATTTCTTCGAGGAGTCGTGACTTTCGTAGAATCATGTGGAATTTTGTAACTTCTGTCGAAATGACGCTATGAGGAGATTCTGCTTTTCGCGCTTGGTACAAAAAAAAAGTTCCGCCAGTTTGATAATTTTTAAAATCAGTCCAATTTATTTATTTATTATTATTATAAGAGTTTTCTTTAGCAGTTTTTCTGAACCTATTTGAACTCGTTCAAATAGGTTCTGAAAAATTTTTTTTTTTTTTTTTATCAAAAATCTGTTTGTTTCAATCAGATTTTTTTGAACTCCTTCGAATAGAACATCGGCAAATGCCGATTTAAAAAATTTATAAACCTAAAATTGTGTATATTGCCTTTATTTCACAACTTTTTTAATTTATACGGTACGAAATTTTGCATTGATGTCTGTTGGGGATGTCGTAATTCATAATCCATTGTTTTCTCTCCATTTCCGGCGAGTTTCTGTGAGATGATCGATTTCCGTTCAGAAGCCCGGATTTCCGGAGATTTGCGTTGTTATTTTTAGAAAGTCAATTAGTTTGAGACCCCGTAATATGAGTTTTGTGCAAAGAAAAATCAGCGATTTTCAAGACATAATTCAATCCCATTACAAATATTAATTTTCTTTTTTGAGTTTAAAATTCCTTTTTTTGGGGAAAATAAAGTACTGCATCATTTGGATGCCTATTTGAAGTCTATTAGGCGAATGATGCAATAGAATATCGTTACAAGGAATCTCGATGAAACGTTGTACCGTATTTCTTACAAATTATTTTATATTTTGAGGTTTTCGCCTAACGACCCCAATGCCGTTAGAAATTCTCCATCACGAATTGTTGCTTCTTTCCTGGCCCCAATGGCAATGTAGTGATGAGATATTTACTATTTTCTGGTTGAACCTAATCCTGCTGATTGATTTTTGTATGAAAGGATCTACTCACGGAAAAGAACATTCTTTTTCGAGTGTTCCCGATTTTTTTTTGGAAGTTTCTTAATGAACGGTTTTTTGTTTGTTCCTGTCTTTCTGTAGATCAAGTCTGGGACGTGAACGTCAAGTGCAAGTTTAAAGAGGATAATGACAAGGTGAGGAATGGGAAGGTGATCCAGGGACAATACAGGTTCATTCTGCGATCTGAAGGCATCATGTTGGCGAAAGTGGCTTCAAAAGACACTGAACCCGAAGTGTGGACTCTGGATGTGAGCAGAAATTATTCTCTGTATAAATCTCTCTTTTTATTCGTTTTTGTTTTTCAATGATTCCGGAAATAAATAAAAAAAAGAAAAACTATCCATTAAAAAAAGTATACATCCTATCTTTTTGCTTCTATCGCTACATTAAGCGAATACTTCCTGGAAAGTCGAGCAGATGTCGCCTGAATTAATGATCTGACAAAAAATGAATAACGTACCATTTAGATCAGGATAATCGAATCTGAAGTAAAGTACTCTTAATATATCAGGAATCACCCAACTCAATTTATGCATAAGAAAAAAGAAACCAATATTCTGAAGATGCATCTCGCGTATGAGATGTTTTCGAGGATATTTCTCGTGTTGAAGATGTTTTAAGTCTATTTTTCGGTTTTCTGGTTCTGCAAGAGGAAATTGTTTCTGAGTTTGGATTCACTGTCATAAATATTATGGCTGCGAATTCCGTTGGTTATTTGAGTTGTTTTTGTGTCCTATCTTGAAATGGTAGAATCAGAAATGTCAAATGCTCAAAGAAAATACTGTACTGTAATACAATTTTATGCATATTAATGTTATTCAATTTTTTCTGTTTTCAATCTGATTGTTTCTCAGCTCTGGCTTGAGTTTTTTTTCAGCTAGTCTGCATACTGGCTGGATTAAATGCAGTAATAGATTTTCTAAATTCTCTTTTGGTTTGTGCGATGAATATTTTGAAACAAATTTGTTTATATTTCTCATTCTATTTTTTGTTTTTTCGTGCGTGCATCTGAATGTTGACCTTAATAATTTTTTTTTTTAATTCAGGTACCTGGGATTAGGTCTTGCATGGATGGAGCAGGTCCAGACACTTTTTCCATGGAATTGGGAAACAGGTCGCCACTGGGTCACTGTGAACTCTTTTTCCAAACGGAAGAGGCTGCAATTGCCAAAGCGTTGCACCAAATTGTTGCCGAGTGAGTTTCGAGACAGAAAAGCCCTTTTTTGAGAGCTCTGGTACTGTAGAACGAAATTGTAATGACTGTAAAGGACTCATTATTTTGGAAATTTTTTTGTATCGTTCAAATTATCTTGAAGCAGAATTAATTTGTAGTAATTCAGTCGAAATATTACAGAACGGAGCTTCTGTACGCGATTCTGTCGCAATTTTTACTGCAGAAGAGAACTTGGAGAAATTTGTAGACATTTTTTTTTTCGAAGTTGAGCGTGAAGCTGGAATCGTTCAAAATTTTAGATGATCAGATCTTTCTGAACGATTCTTGCTTTTTTTCGCATGATTTTCTGTTTTCAAATGTTTTTGTTCAATTATTTTGCTACTGTGGCGTCGGTTTGGTACAGGAAACCAATTCGCACTTTTTCTTATGCGATTCCCTGGAAGTCGTCAATGAATGAATGAATGAAATATATTTTACTTGCAGTTTCATGCGGAATTGGCGGAAAGAGGCGGACGGGTTTGGGGATCACCGAGAGCGACTGCGTTCCTTCACCTCAGTCGGTTCTAGTTCCTCGAAGGCGACGAGCATCCGGCGCCACACGAGCGTCACGAGCCGCCACTCGAGCACCGTTACTCCGCCACCATCATCTTTGGCGTCCCTCACTCCGTCGGCCACATTGACGTCCCTGTCGACAGCATCGGCGTCCACGACGCGTGTCAGAGCCGACACGATGCCGACGTCACGGGCGCCGCGGAGTCGGACAACGAGCGAAGGCGGCTTTGGGAAACTGAGTCTGACGCAGCATCATCAACAGCAGCAGCAACAGCTTCAACAACACCATCTCCTTCTTCAGCATCATCCGCAGCAGTTGCAGTTGTTGCACCACGTACACGGACCGTTGTCGGGGACATGTGGAGGAGCTGCCACGGCGCCGGCGGCGCCGTCTGCACTCAGTGGCGGGTTGGCTGCGTTTTCTGGCGCCCCGAGACCTCCGTCGTTTTATGGCAGTGGCGGCAGTGGGTTCTGCACGCGCAGCATCTTCAGTGCAAGTCCTCCAGCCACCAACAGTCCGCTCAGGTTGAAGTTTGTTGCATTTTTGTTGTGAAATACCAAGTTCGAAGTTTTATTCCAATTACTTCATGACGTACGAATTCTCAGGAAATTTTATATTTTTTTTTCCTCGGCCTGGAATATTTTGAATTAACGTATTTACCCAAATATAAGCATTGTACCCTTTTTTAAATTTTAGATGCTATTCTGGCGATAGCAAGCTTTTACTTGTCGGGACTTCATCAATGGCATCGATCGTGATGAAAATTTTGAAACCTATATTTCCAAATAATATGCACACATTTCCTCATATTGCATTTTTCTCTCAAATTAAATTCACTTGTCGAAGCCACGAGAAGTAACGTGTTTGATATTTGAGTAAATACGGTATGTAAGCAGGAAAAAAGTTTGTGGACTTCAGTAATTTTGAGAATTCAAAGTTGTCAAAAATTCGTTTGACGTACAATCAAGTGATCTGACCTTTGGTTTCTTTCAAAAAATGTTTCTCAAGAGTTTTAAATGGGACGACTGAAGCAGTGATGTGAAAGTAAAAATTGTATTTTCCGACTGTTTTTGCAGCCCGAGTTCTGGACATTGTTCAGACTCAGCAGGGAGCTCGTTGTCTGTGGATGCCGAGTACACTGACGCAGTCGTGCACGGTGTTGCGCATCACGGGGCGCTTCCGCATCACCACTTGCACCACCATCTCCATCTGCACCATCACCACCACCACCTCGTGCACCATTTGGGGCATGAAGGGAATGGTTCTGGGAGCAGCAGCGCTGGCATGATCACCACTCAGCCGCCGATCATTGAGGAGAATCCCGACGCTGGCAGTGGGGAGTGTGTCGTCACCCCGAGTCCTGCGATTCCTTCGACATCAAGTACAGAAAATGTTTCTTTTTTTTCACTTGCGTAATTTATTTTCTTCTTGTCTGTGAACGACTTAAGCTCTTCTTTTTCAAAAATTACGTTTTCGCCATTTAAAAAAAAGATGAATTAAAAGAAGTTGGTGATATTTGGGGCTGGAAACCGCATTTCAGATAATTTGACACATTGCTGAACTTTTAGGCGAGGGTTCTTTTGTCCAATTATTTCGTCACTTCGTTTTGAGAAGCATAACCATTTATTTCTATTGCTTTTCTCTTTCACAAAATCAGTAGCCGAAATGCCTCCAGAAGCGAGTTATAAAGTAAATTTGGGGGGAGGGGAATTTTCGGATCGAGGGAATTTTTAATGTATTGTTTCAGAGGGAACCAGGCTTGCATTTAGAAGTTTTAAAAAATCGACGCGTGGAGGTATTTGACTTGAAGAGGTTCTATATAACGAGATTGAAGTTCACCAGTAATTCATTCATTGTTGTACATACCGCTCATGGTACCTTAAAATTAGCATATTCTGGGCGAGAAACTTTTTTTATCATGAAATTAATAGAGTTACTCTGTATTCAAGCTTTTTTGAATATCTTTATCCTCCGAGGCAGTCATACTGATGTAGGTTTCACTAGTTGCGAATTACTTACGAATCGAGGATCACTTGATTGTTATTGAACTATTCGAATCTAAGTTTACAAAATTGAATTTTTTTTCTTTCAATAAAAAAAAAAAACAAAAAACAGATGACGATGCCTACATCCCGTTCGACCCGGAAAAGAGGGTTCTCAAGCGCCTGATTCCCCGATCCCCGGCGCCACCAGTGGTGCACAGTCTCAAGTCTCCGTCTCCCCCCGAGCATCACGTTGGTGGTGCTGGCCCAGTGTTTGCCAAGTCTCCGACTCCTCCGCCGTCGTTGCTGTCAACGCCGGGTTCCACGCCGGCGCCTCCAATATCCTCTGTTTCCGCGTCGGATTACCTGGAGATGTCTCCCAGTCCCGCGGGATTCGTCAAGTCTGCCAAGTACTGCTCTTCGGTGGCGTCCACGAGTGGCGGATCCGTGGCCGGGGACGACTATTTGGACATGGGGCCGAGGGTGAGGCGGGAGAGCAATGATGACAACTACTTGGACATGGTGCCCGAGTGTAAACAACATCCCAGAGGTTTGTACTGTATTTGATGATTTTATTTTATCAAATTTTTATCGAACCTCGAATGCTCCAGAGAAGCGTGTTCAGGTCGATAGTTCGCTTAAAATTCTGTGGAGTTATTTTTTCGAAAGTTGGAATGAGTTTCATTTTTGGCCCCGGTGTGAATTTAATCTGCATTTCTCGTAATATTAATTACGAAAATTACAGGTATTTTTAATGTACTGTACTCATCCTAACAAAATTACAGATTTTCGAGCAATTGGGAAAATTGTTGATGACCTCAGTTTGAGTGCACGCTTAATTCAACTCGTGCAATAATATTCACCCTCAGGTTATGTGTTATCGTGGTTTGTCAGTAATATAATCTTTCTTCGATGTGGTCCATACTGAATTTAAATCCTGCAAATCAAGGTATTTTTCGCTGAGAACGCAGAATAATGGCGTTTTGAATTCGGATACCGCGGTGTATTCAATTCCGGGAATGTTTTTTCCTTTTTTTTAAAGCCGAGCTGACTTTTTTTTGTGTGTGTTGCAGAATCAACGCCGCATTTTGTGGATGAAGACCATCACTGGAGAATGCCTCCAGGCCACCTGATGCATCATCATTTGCGAGATAAAGATGACACTGCTTCAGTTTCCAGCATGCTGAGTGGGACGACGTCGACGGACTTCCATCTTCTGATGGCTGATGACCTCTTGGATCATCCTGAAATGCGACCCAGGACCCAGTCCACTGGCTCTCACATTGACAAGACCAAAAAGAAGACCAGGTTTGTTGCTTAGAGCATTAAAAAAAAAAAAAAGAGTCAATGATAAAGAAAAAAAAAAAGCTGGCGTTTGCATTGGGGAAAGCACGGCAAGATTGAAAGATTTTCTGCAAGTTATAGAGGTAGAAATCGAGGGACAGGATTTTATATCAATTTCAAGGACGACCTTGACGTGGGGATTAATTTTCAGAGAGCAAAAGTTTTAATGCATTAATCTTGAAATAATTGTGAAATCCTGAGAAATTTTGCGGAATTAAAAAAAATATTTTTCTGAATTCCGTTCTTTTGCTAAATAAAACTGTTGTCTCGATAACCTGGATATTCTTTTGTAATTTTTGTTATTGAAAATAGACTTTTTTAAAGTTAAAAGTGGTTTTTTCAACTTAATATGTCCTAAAATATTTCTGAAGCATTTTCAAAACAAGCAAACGATGTGATTGTTTCTTCGGAAACCCCGTAATTTAGATGTTCGTGTTTCTGGATGGATGAAAAAAAAAATGCTATCGTATTCGTTGTAGGACTGCGGAGTTGCAAGCGCTTGCTGTTGGTCACAGACTGAGGGCCCACTCGATGGGTTCCCAGGTGCCCAAATGGAAACGAGGTGCGAGGAGGCTATTTGATGCAGTCGGTGGGGTTTCTTTATTGCCACCTTCATCAAACTCGTCGCAGTCACATTCTGCTGCTGTCAGGTTCTCTCCAGGTTCCAGCACTGCATCCAGCTCAGTGGTGAGTTTTTTTTTTAATGTAATGAGAGATGAGGGGTCTGCATTTCAATTCTTGGAAAATGTTCTATCTTCTCTGGGGTTATTTTTCGCCATTTTTCTCCAACGCGTTGAAAACGCCTTTTTTTGGTATAATGTTGGGAAAGAACATTTTTCATTTATTTTTTATTTATAATCACTGCCACGGAAGAAAGCTCTTTTTTCATTTTTACGAAGATTTACAGTGGTTCTGATCAGTTCCTGGACCAGTTTTGTTATGTGAAACGGGTTTCTTTGTAAGATTACATTGTACTCGATTTGATTGGTTCCAGCCAATCTGAAAATGACAAATTTGTCCATTTTTCAGCATGAAATTGTCAATTTAATATTTCAAGAATGGAATTGAAGTAATCCCGACAGTTCTTGCTCTTAACTTTCTGAATTTATCAAAAATCAAAATTTGAAAAATTCCGGCGTGTAAATTCAAATGCGCGAACAATTCTGTTATACATAATGATTCTCTTTTTCCTAAGAATACTCGTTGGGCGAGTATTTTGTAATGTAGGGGACACAGTGTACTTCGCAAATCTACCAGTTGGTTGACAGAAGAAAAAGAAACGAAAAGAATAGACGGTGGCATTCATTCTGATTTTTTGTTGTTGCCAGGCTCTGCATGGCACTTCGCCAGTGTCAAAATCTTGGACCGCCCCTGGACAGTATTTCAAGCTGATGGGCGCCACGCTGGCAGGCAAAGTGACCCCCGTCGCCCCCGCATCATCGATAACCCCCGTGCAGCCGACATCCTCTCAGCTGGCCAAGGACGAAACCCTGCGTTTCTTTTTCCAAAAGCGACATTCGCTCGACCATTCCGTGTCGAATAAAAGCAAGACCTCTACGGACACGGACTATGGCTGGCTGGAGCCCGATGAGAAAGTTGTGAAAGCTGTGAGGCGAAAGACGTCCATGACTGGGCCAGTTGGAGTGGACATGACGCCCGAGATGGCCATTGCGTCTGTGGCTGCCACGCAGACCCCGGCTCAGGGCAAGGGATTGGCTAATGCCAATTTGACGCCTAGTTTGATGCTGTGTCACGACTGGCTGGCTGCTCACCACGGACACGAGAAGCAACAAGATGAGTACCTGATGACTGATGGATACCAACAAGCCCCCAACAGCGCACCCATTGGGCCAACAGTCAAGTGAGTGTTGTTGAAAAATGAATCTCGTTTTTGGGGCCAGGCTAATTTATTTTTTATTTTTTTCAACAGGAAGCCACAGTGGCCCGCACCAGCTGGACAGAAAAAACCGGATCCTGGCTCGGATTACGTAAACCTGGATCCCAATGAGCTGGCGAAACTGAGTCCTTTTGTCCTTGCCGCTAGAGAAAGAGCAGCGCAACAAGCCAAAGAAAAGCTGAAGCCTCCCTTGCCTTCGTTCACAGCCAGTGGTCTTCCCAAGGGACCTCTTAAATCCGCCTCCCTGGACATTTCCTCGTCTGAAAAGACCGGGAGAAGAGGTTTGTGTTTCATTTGGTCTCATTTGGATTCCTTTTGTAAGATGACCACGCATTTAAGGCTCGTATAAACAGGATATTAATTTTTATTGTGCCGTATGATGATGATTTTAATTGTTACGTGCGAAAACTGATCTAAGAAAGCTGGTACTTGACTGTGATGCGTAAAAAATTCAGGCGACACCTATGAAGAGACGAAGAAGGAGCTGTAATGAGGAAAAAAGGAGAAGACGCAGCTTTTTGATAGACAATCATATTTAACGTAGCTGCACTGTGCGTGTTCGTGATGTACACTTGTGATTGAATGCATGATTTTATACAGAGTAATGTTGCTTACAGGAATGACAGAAATGTAACATGAAGTTTCTTCCTAGATCAAAGAAAATAATGCATGTATTACGTAACCTAGTACACATTTTATTGCGATTATCCGCATGGCTTACCTTACAATTTGCAATTGTAAGGCTTCGTGAGGTATCTGTAATGTATTCCACGATCTTCGGAATTGTGATTTTGATATTATAGCTGAAACATCTCGTAATTAAAAAAAAACCGGTGGAAAGCTTTTTGAAAGCTGATGTTTAATTTTTGAGACGCAACTTTAAAATATCTTTCTACAAAATGTTCACCCACTTTTGTCTGTTGTTCCAATATTGTATTCTCCTGTGTAATCATTTATGCTGATGCAAGGTATAGATTTTAATTTTAAAGTTCAGGTAATTGAATTTTTATGCATGTCCGAAATTCAGAAAATTTCTTACGTTCGTGCATTTAAAAATTTTACTTTAAAATTTTAGTAATCGACTTATGAGATGTGGAATTGTGATGTTGATGGAATAAAAATTCCTTCCATGCGTCCTCGGAAATTCAGAATGACGAAGCGTTAAAAAAAGGCATGAACATACTAACGTATCTGCATGCATATTCATGACCTTTTTTTTTTTTTTACAATTGCCAGGTTGCTCTGTGAGTGAATCCTCGGCTGATGAGAAATTCAGCTCGATTCCGGACTGGATGCCTTCATTGGAGCCGGACTGCTACGTGGACATGCAACCCATTTGTCCACCATTGGATATGGAGGCCATCCTCAAAGATGAATACCTGGATACCTCTGGCATGATCTTTCCAGCGAGGTTGCCGACGTCGGGATCCCCTGGTACGCTTGACTAGTACTGTTAAACCCCGTAGAGGCCCCCCTTCCGATGAGCCGCCAATCTATTTGGAGAAACAGAAACGTTCCCTTATGATGGTGGTATTGGAAACCCCGTTGAAACGCTATCCGCCAAAATTATTGACGACTCAAATATGCTCCTGTCAATTAATTTTGTCGTCGAGAACCCGCCAAAAAGTTTAAAGTTTCTGTGACAGGCTTACAATCAATGAAAAAAAAAGATGTTATGATATTGACGTTTTGGAAACGTTAACTGGATATAAGTCATGCATCCCAGGGTTATTTTGTTCGTTTTCTCTTGAATATGAGTTTTATTTCCTATTATATAGTACTTGAGAAATTAGTCATATCATTTTAGCTTTTTGTGAAATTCTATTTCCTTTTTGAAGCAGTGGAAGAGGAGGATGCGGTGGGGGTTGTGTCTGACCAACAAGCACAGGAAGATGAAGAAGAGGAGGAGGAAGAAGGCGAAGAGGATGTTCCACCAGCTAGGAATTCCATTTGCAGTCCCGTGGTTGAAGAAGACTGGACAGCGTTGAGTCAGGAGTCGATGAACCATATTATTAATGATTTCTCGCTGAGCGAGAAATGTGAGGTTGATGCGTCTTCGGGAACTTTGAAAATCGTGGATAACCGCGGCCCTGGGATTGCGGGAATGCTGAAGGTTTGTCCTTTCCGTCAAGCCTTTTTTTGTGCAATTCTTTGGTGTAGAATATTTTGCTGCGAATTCTTGCTCGTACAATTTTTTTCTGGTATATTCGAAATGTTTTTCAAGTCCAAAATAGTTCCAAAAATGTGTTGTTGAAAAAATATGATCCAGATTCCGTCAACTAAAAAGTGCAGGGCCGATGTTGAACGCAAATTGGAAAAAATTGAATAATCTGAAAAAACTGAAAAGATGTCAAACTATGCTTCTCCTTCATAATTTGTCTTGGATTTTTGAAAAATTGTCAAGTTTCGTTTCGAAAATAGTTAATTTTGTGCCAAAAATGTCGTCAGGTGACGTAATTCTGTCATGTGAGTCATGTTTTTCCCCGAAAAAATTTCATTATGTGAATTTTCGTACTTCGGATTTTTCTGTATGCGGGGGATTCACTGTACTGAAATATAACAGATTTCCTCTTGCAAGGAGTGAATAAAAAAGAAGCTAACTTATTCTTTCAGGTGTCCTCCACGCCTTTACTCCGTTCCTGCTCCTCAACATCCAGCAGCAGTTCGTCCTCCAACAACCTAGTCTCATTGACCAATCAGCAATCCAACGGCTGCGGCAGCAGCAGCAGTGGTGGCAACAGCAACAGTGGCAGCAAGAAGAAAAGCCGCCATTGCAGTGACCCAGTCGCCCTGTCGTCGACCAGCCGACTCAACATGTTTCCACTCACTCGGGATGATCTCTTGCGCCCTCTCAACAAGCCACTCAAGAAGCTGAGAGGCGCCTTGAGAGGCACCACTTCCACCCCTGGCACCCCGTCGTACAGCAGTAAACCCAGGCTCAACTATGCCCAGCTGGATTTGTGCTTTGACGGCAGGAACCAGTCTGCTGAGGACCCTTTGACCTTCGTAACATCTTGTCGGGAAGTGGTTAATTATGCGCAGATTGATTTCAACAAGAGCGAAGGCCTGAGGACGACGTCTATGTCGCTGCATAGGTTGTCCAAGTGAAAAAAAGAAGGGATAAAAGAAATCCTTCGCTCTGTTTTTATTTTACCACTGGAAACGCTTTGCTGCCATTTTGATCTTTCAGTGCGACGGGATAAACTTGAAAAACGGAGAAACTTTTTTTCTCTTCCAGACTGTCCTTGCATTTGTCTGTGCTTGTAAAATTTGAAAGATTTGAATTCTTTCTTTTCTCATCAATGGTCAGAAAAGGAAGAAACGTGCGTCTTCGTTATGAATGTTTCTGAGGATAGACAGGGGGAGCAGGGTTTTTAAAATTTTCGTTACACGTGTCGTTGTTTACTTCCCCGCTTTGCTTCTGCAGAAGGATTTTAAAAATGGCGATGAATAATGTGTACCGAAGTTGTGCTGACGGTGCGGAGCAAATGAGGCAGTTCAGCTGGTGTAGAAGTGACATCTTCGGAGGAAAATGTCCTACCTCAAGGCTTGTTCGTTTATTCATTGGAAGCTTGTTCCCGGTGTTCCTCACTAGGTGGCGCGAGTATTTATCAATTGATAATTATGCAACACAAAATCAGCTTCAGGGTTAGTCACTTATTTTGACAGCTACGCATTCAGCGAAAAAAAAGATTCTTTTCCTTTTAGGAGGAAGATTCATGATTTTCCAAGGCGGGGGAAGCTGTTATTTTTATTTTCCTTTATGTGGGGGCAAACAAGCTGTGATATCCAGGATGTTTTTCCTTTTTGTTCTGTGTTTTAAGTATGTTTCTGTCCCTTTCGTTGAGAGGGGATGTCAAAGGTGTTGTTGGATTTATTGTGTTGTGGAGAAACACTGGGTTGATACAGAAACTGCCCAAAAGTTTAGTCAAGTTTTTTTTCCTTTCTCAAATGTTTCTGGGAAAGAGGGTCGATTGTATACCTCTTTCAAGGGACTTTTTTGCCTGCTGCCATTGACGATATCCATTTTGGAAGCAAAACAATGCGAAATTGAACAGAGAAATAAAACTTGAGGGAATGAATCCAGCATTCATTGCATTTATTCATTATTGAAACGTATTTCAAACTCTGTCCTGTGATTCAGTGATGATTCTTGTTTGTTTTTGTTGCAGATGATGTCCATCAAGTGGTGCTGATAATTGCTGTTGTTGATACGGAGGAATATAATCCTGAATATTTTCAAGTACTGTACACCTACAATTTTGAGTTTGTGAAAGGGGAACAGTCACGTCTGCATTTTAATTTGCACTCTCTTTGCTTCGCTGCCCTGATTGTGAATCATATTTATTGCCCATCACTGTATGAGTGAATTCAAGAATCGTGCCCTACTGAAGACAGGTGAAGTTGAATTTAAAGATACTGTGCTATAAAAAAAAATTCGAGAGGTTTTGAGTAGGACGTTTAGGGGAACTAGGGCTGATGGTGCTTGGGATGATAAAATCAATGAGTCGGGTAGTTTTTCACAGAAAAAGGTCTGATGGTGTATAAATTTGATTCATCAACTTTTTTGTGCTATATACTAAATTTGTGCGCAGAATGCTTTAGTCAATGTGGTTTTTACTTTGCCTCTTGCACTATTATGAGAATTGCAGGATTTCCATCTTCTGTATTCCATCCAATGCCACAAAAACATCTGGACACATGCTTCAGAAACTCATTCTGATGGATGATGTTGATTTTTTGTGTAAGTTAAATTTGTTGCTGCCTAAGCATACACATTTTCCCCCTTTAGAGGTTGATGGGAAAATAAATTTAGTTTATAAACTTATGTCCAGAATATATCAAGTTCTTCAACCAAGGATCCAATGTATAATGATGTTGGCTAATTCTGGAAAAATTTCAGAAGTCTGAGGAATACATTATTTTTCATTGTTGGTTTTTTATGCAAATTCGTGACTCAAGATCATATTGATGATTAGGATTCTATTGCACGAAGATTTCTCTACCCCAGGCCGAAATTGTAAACTTGATTCTTGACATTTGCTGTGACCAATTGGGTAACACTAGTGGTTTTCGTTGTAGTACTGGTTGATGCAACCCCACTATTGCTCTTGGCAGGACTTTTTGAAGTTTCTATAGTACCTGTTTGAGAACTTGTTTCAGTGCCTGGCACAGTTGTGGATGGCACCACAGATGAAGTTGATACATGACCTGTTGTCAATAAGGAAGTGTCAGCAGTAGTGCTTCTTGTAATGGTTGTTGAAGTTGTTTTGAGTTCAGTGGAGGATGAATCCGTTGTGGTTATTCCAGAACTAGTTTTCACCTCACTTGTACTGAAGGATGTGCTTTTGAACATTTCTGAGGTAGCCTCCAATGTGGTAGGGACATTTGCTGAGGCTGTTTCTGGATTTTGTTTTGTTGAAGAAGAAAGGGCTGAGGATGTTATGGTTCCACTTGATGGTATTGGTGAAGTGCTCTCTGATATGCTTTCCGTGGAATTCAACCAATGATTCGGCAGAGTATTGGGAACCGTATACAGTCCTTCTCTGCTGGTGCCGATGGATAAAGAATATTCCATTACTGAAGTACTCTCAGAACTGTCTGTTGTTTCTGTTGGTGTAGTTGTTGAAGTATAAGTTGCTTCAGTCTGAGGGATGCTCTCTGTGTGTACTGATGGTGTTGTATCATCACTTGCCACAGTAAATGGTATGTTTGTTGCTGTAGAAGTCTCTGTTACACGTTTTGTAGATGGTTGTGTGAAGGTATTTGTGCTCTGTGTGATGGTGTCCAATGAAGAAAAGGCTGTTGATTCTCCTCTGTCTCTAATGGTACCTTCTGTGATCACTGATGTCACAACTGTGGAATATGTGATTGTACTGCTGCTGCCCAGTGTGGATTCTGAATCAGTGTTGATAATTGTGTTCCCTGGTGAAGACTCAGAAGTGGTTTGTTTCAGTGGTTCTGTTTTAGTGGCATTTCTATTGGTGTAACTGGTATCTAGTAAATCATGTGTGATACCTTGAGTCGTTGTTGCTGTCCCAGTGCTGGTTGTTAGTGGTACCTCTGTAGTGGTCCCCTGGATGCCATTTATTCCTGCTGCTACTGGTGCTCCAATGGTCACTTCATCTGTTTTTGTTGCTGAATGAGGTGGAACACCTGATGTAATTGCTGGAACAATAATAAGAGAAGCATATGTTTTTAAAGTTTCCTACCCTTCATAATTTTGATTGAATCATTACTATAGTACCTGTACTTTCCACAGGTAGTGCTGTTGATGTTATGCCGTAATCTGCCTGTGTATTCATAACAGAACTGACGCTTGTAGAAGTCCCTGTAAACATGGAGTAAGGTCATTAGATCAAGGCAGATTTAAATTGAAAATAAGTACTGTACCATAAGTGTTGGTGGACAAAATACTTGTAACAGTTGATGGCAGTGATCCTGTTGTTTGAAGCTGCACAAGAATTTGTCCAGTTGTGCTACCATCTGTGTTAATTTTTGGAATAGTTTGTCCTGAATTAGAGGGTGGGTTTGCAGAACTTTCTTCTGTGTCTGTATCTTCATCTTCTTCAGTACTTTCAGTCGCATCTTCTCCAGGAGTGCTTTGAGTCAGAGTGGTACCTTGTGTGGTTTGGGATTTGGTAGGTTCCAGTGAATTATTTTCGCAAATTGTAGTGGAATCTGAATCCACGGAATTGTAACTCGGTCCGCAGTAAACAGCGGACCCATCTGACATGACTTGAATCTCTACAGTTCGGAAATCAGCTCCTACTTGCGGCCAAAACTTGAAGTAACTTTTGCACGTGTCCGTTTGGTTGAAGAGGATTCCTTGCAAAACATATCCTCGGCTGACATTATTACCGAGTGCTATTTGATTCACTTTCCTTTCTAATCCGTTTTCGCAGATGGTGATAATTCGCGGATTCTGTTTCAGAATCCTGCAACCAGTGTGATTCATGTAGCCCAGGATTTCCCCGACTTGTTCTACTAGTGTAGAAGCGTTCTCAAATACGTGAAAATCCGGTTTGCTACACGATTCTTCTTTGGAAACCCAAATTGCTTTCCAGTTGGAATCCGTTGTACGCGTATCTATCATTAGAGATAACTTGTAATTTTGCACGATCGCTTCTGTTCTCAGCACGAAGCCTAGAGTTATAAACAAGTCGAACCTCATGGCTGTGTGCGAACGGTTCCTCGAAGCTTGTCCGAAAGCAGTGATTCGGCCTTCTAAGCCGAGGTCAGAATTCCTAGGTTTACAGAGTAATACGTTACGGGTTGAGAAAAGTTCTGATTTCTTTGTGTGGCGTTCCGAGTTCATTCCCGATCGATCGCGGTAGAATTCACCGGTTGATTATCCCGTGACGTGACTTACCGCGTTTTACGGATTAAAGTGGGAAATCAGTGCGAATAATGGAAACTTATTATCGGTGTTGCATTTCGTGCTGTTTTCTGTGAAAACATTTTCATCGTTCAATCAAATTTACATGAAGCTGAGGCTGCGAATATCTGTGGTCAACGAATTTCTCGATTTTTCCTGTTAGGTGTGGTTACTCCTTGCGATGCCAGAGGACGAAGAAGACGATGAAAGACAGTCGGTACGCATCGTCAGGTTCTCAGAATTAGTACCATGCTGTGCTTTATTTAAAATTTTCGTGTCATTTCGCAGCTCGTTGTGTTTGGCCGAGATATCGCGAAAATCCCATGTTTCCGAAGCTCGATCCTCTATGGACTCGGAGGCGGCGTGAGTGGCGGCCTTGTCTGTTTTTTGATGACCAGTAGACCTCAATTTTCCTCTAGAATCGGAATGTTGTGTCTCGTCGCAGTAACCGTAGGCTATTGGTGAGCCCTCTCCGACATTTTTAATCGAGAAATCGTTTTAATGAAAGCATCCTTTCTAGGACTCGATGTCGGTACGAATATTCGAAGAATCGACAGCTCCATCATCAATTGGAAGCCGCGGCTCGTCGAAAAGCTTTGTTGCAAGGCACCGAGGAGGAGAAGCGAATTCTAGATTTTAAAGACGCGTGATTCCTCGAATCGAAAGTTGATCAAGTGCAGTTCAAATAGCTCAGGGTTTACATACTTTCCTTCTGTTCCTAACTTCGTGAAACTGGGCTCTGCCATTCCCTTATATTTTTTTTCACAGTCAAATGAGTCATTCGTGGTAATGAAAGAAAAGTAGTCGTTATGGCAGATACCGGTTTAGATCTTAGTCTTCTTTGCGAGATAAATCGCAAGAAACTAGTGCATATTTTGGAGGAAATCCATGGGACAATGGACTTCGTCGTAGACTCGGACCTGATGAAGCCATTGGATACCTACATCCAAGGAGCCTCAACGTTAAGGTCTGCTTCTGTTTCCTGTGATTTTCGGATTTTCACATTCGTCCATGTTCTGAACGTAATTTTTGATAGAATGAAGTAACGTTCACTCTTCCAGGCGTCATGGAGTGAAGAAGATTTTCAAACTCTCGAGGGAAACCCCGGCATTCGGCGAGAAGCAACGCTGTTTTCTCACGCGTCCAAACCTGACGAAAGTGAAGTGGTTCTGTGATCAAGCCCGGGCTTCTGTCGACTCTGATCGTCCCGGAGTCTATCATCTCATCCTCTCCCCACGCAACACCCACGCCATACAAACTCTGCTCGAAGAAGAAGGCCTGTTTGGACAAGTTATAGTTTGGGAGCTGAACCCGGGTCTCCTAACCCTCGACCGAGACGTGTTCTCTATCGAAATCGCGGAACTGTTTCGTGAGTGTTTCCTCGAAGGCGATCAGGTGCACTTGCAGCCGTTGGCCCGTGCTTTGTGCGAACTACAGCAAATATTTGGCAAAATTCCGAATGTCTTCGGTCATGGTCGTTTCGCGGCGAAAGTGCGAAGTATGTGTGATGTCATGTGGGCCGATTTCAACGCCTCCAAGTCTCGTCGCGTGGAAATAGGATCGTTGTTCATCTTCGACCGTGACGTGGACTATCCCGCAGTTCTCTTAACCCAACTCACTTACGGTGGGCTTCTGGACGAAGTCTTTGGTGTGACGTGTAACGTGCTAGAGTTCAAACCCGACGACCAGACGGCTGTGAAGATGGTTCTCTCGTCTGAGAACAAAGTGTATTCTAGTCTCGCTGACCTCCATTTCTCTTCGGTGGGTCCATCACTGGCCAAAATGGTGCGTGAATTGACGAGCAAACAAGCCAGCAAGGACCTAAGTGTGCAAGAAATGAAGCGTCTGGTGAAGGAGGAGCTGAAGGAGATGCAAGCAGAACGGAAACGAGTCTCTGACCACGTCGCTGCCAGTGAAATCATCACCAAGCGAAAGGGCTCGGATTTCCAGTCTCAACTCGCAGCCGAACACGCATTTGTCGAAGGAGCCGATGTTAGAGACGCAGTGAATTTGCTCAATTGTGTCATTTGTTTCAAGTCTGATCCGTTGATCCCGTTGCGACTCCTGAGTCTGTATTCCTTTTGCAACAACGGACTGAATTCGAGGGATTACCGTGCGTTCAAGACGAGTTACTTGCACGCTTTCGGGTTCGAGAAGCTGAAGGCGTTTCACAATCTCAAGAAACTCGGTCTGGTGACGGAAAACAACGAGCCGACAAACGTGATGAATTTAGCACTGGGTCGAGGTTCTGGTTTCCGACTCATGGCCAAGAAACTTGGGCTGATTCCGCCGGAAACGACGAACGTGGACACGAATGAGCCGAGCTACGTGTTCGGCGGTGGTTATGTTCCGGTGACTGTGAAAATCGTGTCGGAAGTGTTGCGGAACGGGAAATTGGGCGACGAGTTGAAGTGGTGTCCCGGGGAGAGTTTTTCGGCGTCCGGAAGTGTTTCCGAGTTGCCGGCGAGTTCCGGTGATGCGAGCAGAGTCGCTGTGATTTGTTTCGTTGGCGGTGTGACGTTTGCGGAAATCTCCGCGTTTCGTTTGTTGGGCCGGAAGTTAGGGAAACGGTTCATCATCGTGACGACTGGAATCATCAACGGGAACGAACTGATGAAAACTGTGCTGTGATACGTGAACGAAAATACATTTCCTTGGGCTGCCTAAAATGTCGCCCTTTCCAGTCCTCTTAAACCCCGTCAGACAAAATTCTTGAAGTCTCACGTTCAACAGCGATCCGTTTTTGTTGTGCAGGTCTGTGAATTTAAATATTTTTTTGCTGGATGAGTGGCGAATGAAATCGCGGAATCGCGTAATATGGTGAGTAGAAAGACATTTTATTTTTTCCTGATGAGATGCAGTAACTGAACTTGAGTTTTTTTTTCTTACGAAAATCATAGCTAGGGTTGTTCAACTTCCAGTCGCTCTTGGTGATCGTGTTGTTGCTCATTTGCACGTGCACGTACATACGGGGGATCTGGGCTTCGTTATTGGACCGAAACCAGACCGGGTATGTCAATTTCTTGTGAAGTTTAAGAACTGTGCGTTGAAGAAAAGTGTAGAATTTTGCGCCATTTTTGAGCGAAATACGCGATTAAATTGTTGATGAATGTTTCTGAAAGGTTTGAGGAGCTGCTTGATGCAGGAGCTCCAACTCACTTATTGGAGTTATTGCTACAGAAATTTCCTAGATGTGAAATAGGCCAAAATCAAATAAATTGATGAATTTTTCTAGGGATATCATTAGATTATTAGCACATCCCTCCATATGCTCAGGATAATTTTAAAAATTATAGTTCTGAATTTTTGGTAATTATTTGATAGGTGGTATTATTTGAATGTCCACCGCAGTACAGTCTCATAAAAAAACCTGATCTTGGAATTGTGTTCTTTCATGTAGGATTTTTTTGAAAGGTTGATACGAAATTTCAAGGAACAGATCTGTTCTTCTCACTTGAGTGAAAAAATCTATTCTCTTTTATATTATATTTTCTTTATTAAATATATGTATTCTCTTTTATTAAATTAATTGAAGTATACCTCTGTATATGGACAGTTCATTTGAGCCGAAAATTATTTCTTGTGACTTTCTCTCTTGGGAAAGGGACTTGATGGTCTAACAATTACCTGTAGTAGAACTCGTGTAGAAGCCATCATCTGATAAAATACCCCCGATGTACTGCCAAAAAAATGTGCGAGAAATATTGTGGCACTAAATTGGGCTTTGACTCTACGGTATTTCAGCACAGTGAGCAAAATATGAAACATTTATGCTTTGAATTTCAGTTGTGCCTCTGCGAAGTGACATGACTAATTTTTATTTTTAAATCAGGTTGTTGGGGACGTTTTGGAAGTGCGCTCGGATCGGCGAGCGGAAATCCCCGTACGTGGCCTTGTGTTGTTTCGCGATGGCCGCCACTGTGCTATTTTGGAGCTGAGATGAACGTTTCCGCCAATTCGACGCCGCCGGCGTCCTCGACTCCGTCTGTTCCCACTGCCGCCGTTTCGGGCGAGGACCCGATCGACCTCGAAACCACTGGCACGTTTCCAATCGCAATTTTTTGTATAAGCTTATTTTCTTGTGAATCTCGTTATTTCACGCGAATTTTGAGAGCCTTCTCCTCCTGCTTTTTTTGCGATTTAATCGCTCTTCTTTTTCTCCAAAATTGGGGTATGTGTCATGAATAAAGCACAATTAGTAAGTGACGTTTGGAGAAATATTTTCGAGGTGTAAGAATGAAAAAGTGGAGTTGAAAAAAAAATGCAGCGCGGTGTAATCAAATTTCAAACGTTCAACTTTCGACTTTAAATATTGTTTCCCTAAAGTAAATTGATTTATTGTGTCTGGCATGGTCGTACATGAGGATTGATTTCTCTTCCATTTTTGTCTCAAAGTGCATGAAACTCAAGGTAACATAACATTGTTGAAGCAGGGTACCGTATTGAACTCCTAACCTTCGTCTGGCGATGTGTCATGTACTCATGTTTGTTGTTTTTTTTCTCAGGTCAGGTGAGGGAAGTGGGGGAAGCAGCTGTGTGGAGCGTGTCATCATGCAAACCCGGTTTTGGGGTTGATCAGCTTAGGGACAATTGCTTGGATACTTACTGGCAGTCGGACGGGCCACAGCCACATTTGGTGAACATCCAGTTCCACAAGTCAGCTTCGTTTTTGTAAATCTTATTCACTCGACCACTCCTGTATTGAATAGGCCGCACTTTTAGTCGCAAAAAAATGCTGGTGAGGCCTATTCTTGAGCTGTTTCTCTAAGTGAATTACTGACTTGAAGAAAATGGCCTGTATTCCGATCAGGAGATATGTGTGGTATCCTGTATATTGATCTGAAAAATGTGAAAGAAAATATCTTGAAGATTAATATTTTTGAAAATTGAGTATTGTTCAGTTGAATTGACAACAGAACAAAATTAAGATGGAGTCCGAAGCTTCTTGATTAAGACAGCCTGCCGTTGCAAGAGTCGCAAACCGAATGTATTTTCTGTTTGAATTCTCTTATCGGCGAAATTGTTGTTGCCGAAGTAGGAATAAAAATGCATTGAATTAATTTGTGGACTCTCCATGAATATATTCTCTAACTCGCAAAGAACTAAGCAATTCTTGAACTGTCTAAACTTCAAGATTCTATCTGTCGTATTTCTTTAATCTCAAGACAAGTCGATAAAAAAGTGACTAGCATTTTTTTATACGCCACTTTTCGAGGAAAGAGCAACAGATCATATCTCTCACATTAGAAATAATCAATTGATTCCTTCAAGTGACTGCCGAAAAATCAGAATGCGGTCTCGAGTGTCGCCAAAATACATTTTTTTGCGGCGAATACAGTTTGCAATGATTTTTTGTTTTTGTTGCAGGAAGACTTTAGTGGAGAATGTTTGCATCTACGCGGATTACAAGTCGGACGAGAGTTACACACCCAGCAGGATTTCTGTGAGAACTGGGACACATTTCAATGACTTGCAAGAAGTTGAAGTAGTTGAACTGTTGGAACCGAGTGGGTGAGAATTTATTCGTTTCTTTTTTCAATTTGTCAGTCTAGCTCGTTTGGAAAAAAGAAAAGAAAAATACATTCGCTGAATGTGTTGAATTTTCATCACCATTGGTCATTCCAATGCATGATGCAGTAATTTTTTTGTGAGAATTCTACCGACAAAACGCAATTTCCTTGTTTGGCAGGATGCAGAAATTGGAGGCAAGGGTTAATTTTCCAGATTAGTCAATCACTCCTTTTGAAAAGTGTCAGGTTCCATTTTTATTACTTCTCTCTTTCCCGGATCCCCAGAATAATGGCCCGACCGCCTCCAGAAATTCAATTTTTTGAGGTCTTGAGTGGGAAACTTTTCACATGAAGGAAGTCTGTGTTACATTATTTTTCAGACAATGACAATACAAAAATTCAAAACAAGTTCAAACATTAAATCAGCGCTTCCGACTTTTCTGTTATCCAACATAGTTTTAAGCTAGGTACAGGAGTTTTCATGCAAGATCATCCTCCAATGAGCGATTGAGAGTGTTTTTTTTCTGAATGTATTCAGGCGACATCTACGTACTGCATTTGCATAAAAAAAACCAGTGTGGACATTGAAGTGATGTATACGCTACATCACCGAATGGTCCTTCTTCCGATCCTTTACGAATAGGTGGGTGAATATTTCCTTGGGCAACTCAAATGGCGGCAGACCCGTGAAGGCGTTCATGGTGCAAATTGCTGTGCTGAGCAACCATCAAAATGGCAGGGACACGCACATGCGTCAGGTGCGGGTTCACGCCCCGGGGGTTTCTCTGGCCAAGGCTGTGCACGAAACCCTGCCCTGCTTCACCACCAATGACTATGTCCGTCAACTCTATCCACGCTGACCCTTCATCATATTTCACACTTCCTGCTGCTGCTGATACTGCTACTTTTGGGGGACACCGGCCCAGTCTTTCTTTCTTTATTTTATTTTATTTTTTCGTTTGGGTTGGAGGGGAAGTGATTTGAAAGCGCGCAGGGGTATTTTTTGGTCTTGGTTGGTTGGTTTGCATAATGAATGAGTCGTGCTGATTCCATTTGAAGAGAAAACTGTGTTTTGATATCGTGAACCAGAAGAGTGACATTCATTTGTTGTTCTATGCAGGGATTCTGTAGGTGAGGGTTGTTTTGTGTAGTGGGCAGTCTGGGGATGATTTTCAATGGGGGACTGCGTATTGGATAAGAAAAATGGAACCAATTTCACTAAGAAACAGTTGAACTTGAAATTCCCTGTCAAAAACCTGCCTGGCTGAATTTTCGAATAAATCTCTAGTCAATGCGGTTTGAAGCTCTCGAACTTGAAACTCGTTGGCTGTAAACTTCCTTGGTGAAATTTTCTTTTGAACCTTCTGGTATCATTAACCAGGAGTCACATTTTGGAACATTTTCATGTATCTACAGTATTTTTTTGTTTCCATCAGTCATTATTGACAATTTCCTGTACATTTGTAGGAATGGTCAAATTTACATGCGGTAGAGTATTAGTCAACATTCCAGAGACTACTCCAGGGTTGCTGGAACATGACTTCAGTACAGTGCTGTACCTTGTATAGAAGGAAGTGAAATATGCTTCCTTGTGGCATTGATAGATGTTAGCATTGGGGAGATGGAGAAGTAGAAGAACGTTTGTCGGATAGAGGACAGCAGGGGTGAAAACATGGCGGCGCCCCTATGAAACGGTAGTGAGTTTTCAGGTGAGCTGGTTAAAGTTTCACCTTGCAGGCTTAGTTCATTCCTGATCGATCCTGGCAGAATTATCGGTTGATTGTCCCATGACGTGACGAATCACGTTTCACGGATTAAGGTGGGAAATATTTGCGATCAATATTCCAATGTGCCGGCTAATGACCATCGCCGTTTCGCTCTATTAGTGGTTAGGTATTTTGGGTTGGAAAGTGAGGTCCCTTTGCACGAAGCCGGCTGCGAACTGAATGAAATGGTACAATGGAGTCTCCTAAGTGAAGGTGCATGATTAATTGAAGATTTACAGATTGACGTGTACGCGTGAGAGGAATAAATTGAAGGCATCGGTTGACGTTGGAAACCGTGAAAGCTTATAGTTTTCGTTCCGTCGCGACGTGTGTTCTGTAATCTACGCGACATTTCCGATCCATCGTGATTACGATCATGCTTGGTTCAGTAGGTGTCTGTGTCTTTCTTGTGGAATTAATTTCTCTAACTTAAATGTAACTCAGTACAATATTTGAAAGTTCTTGAGCCGGTGATTGTGGACGAATTTGTTCGTTGTTCGCAAGATTTATGGTTTTTGATTTCATGCGTTCAGTGGTGAAATTGTAGGTGATCGCGTGTTACCCATGATTTCGCTGCGCGTCGATAATAATGGCCTAATTTCACGTCGGATTTATTTCCGTCCACAGAAATGGCTTCTGGCGTCGTGAATAATGTGGGATCCGGAATTCAGGCGCCTCGGAGCGTCGCAAATAATGCCATACCTTTGACTGGTCCTAATGCGTATGAAGTGTCTTCGGGCTATCCAAGTATGTACAATGGAGCGACTTATCCGTATGCCTCGTCTATGTATTCCATGTCCGGTTATTCCCCAATGATGTCATTTTCACCAATGACTCCACGATTTGGCGGATATCCAGGTTCTGATCCTGAGATTATGCGGTGAGCCTAACATCTTTTAGTCAAATGTACAAAATCCTCTTTTATCAAAATATTTGATTAGGAAGAGAAATTAATTTGATTAGGAAAAATGGCTTTTTCCCGGAGTAAAGTGTATTGCCATTCCTCTGTATGTACAGTACCTTCATTGTGGGGTAGAACGTTTGTGTAGATGTCGCTTCAATCGCAAACCTTTCTTAGCTGGCCCATAACTGTAAAACTTTCACTTTTCACTGAAAAAATCCCATAACCTTACAACGTCGAGGGTTATATCATTATTTTTCCACACTTATAATTCAATAAATCCTGGTGCCATCTTATTTTAAATTCTGTGGCATGGAAAAACAAAAATTAAATCGTATTGGAAGAGATTCCTTTTACCCTTCGTCTTGATTATCTGTTTAGGTTTATGGCTGAGGCGCAGAATTGGACAAGCAAGACTTTCCAGCCACTTGCCACTGTTATGAACTCCATGTCATCTATTGGAGCCATGCTTCAGACTACTTACTATTCACTGCAAGCTTCGGTCCAGTCATTGGTTTACGTGTCACATTCCATTTCCTCGCTGGGATCACAATTCAGTGGCGTTCTGGGCATCATTTCGCTGAAAAGAGCGTTTCAGTGGATTCAAAGATTTATTTATTACGTTCTCGGTACGTTTAAAAAAAAATTTTTTAATTGGAATTTACTCCTTGTCAACATTGCTGATTCCAGTAATTTCAAAATTTTAGGTCGATTTTTGATTTACTGCAGTCGAGGTAGTAGATTTTTGAAGACAATTTCCAAAAATCTCAGCAAAAAATATCCCGAAAAACGTTCCAATCATATCCAGAAATATGTGTTATAATTGTACTGCGGATTTTTTGGCGATTCAGATTCTAAAAAAACGAAGAACAAAAATTCTAGAAATTGTTGCTATTCGAACACAAACTGTGTGTTGTAAGTTACTAATTACTAATGTGTGTTGTAAGTTAATGTTCAATATACCACCCAAAGGCAATTGAATTAATACTTTTTTCGATATCAGATCCAGGTATTCAGCATTTTGTATTTCAAGATATCGCAGGTAGAATTGAATTCGTTTCAAATTTCTGCCCGATGCACTATTTTTTAATAGTAATGTTTTTTACTTGCCCTTGTGTCTTTATTGTGACAAGATTTATATTGTACAGTAGTTCCCTACTTCTGGAATTTTTGAAAATGAAATTTTTCGAAAATAAGATGCTTAGTAACCATATCAAGGATACAAATTTGGATTAAAATCGATACAGAAGCAATTGAATTCAACTAAAACTAGAGAGTGCTTCTCATTTAAATTTTTTTTCAAGAGTTCCTGAACAGTACGAATTGTTTGTCACGTACTACAACAAAGTTGTTTTGGTTTCTCCCTTTCTTGAATAGTGTCCAATTTTGTTATCCTAAAGAATGTGAATTTTTCTCAGGGCTTGTGGGAGTCATTCCTAGGATGGAGTCTGTGTGGAAGGAAGCGGTTCCGTCAACGTTGGGTTCGAAGGCTGGGAACGGCGACGGCGGCAGTGGGACGCCGTGGGGAATCCCAGTCCTGCTCATGTCTGCCTTCTTTGTCAACTTCGTGTTTCGTCGTGCGCTTCGAATGGCTCGTGAAGGTTAGTTTTTTTGTTGTTGAGGACAACGACTAAACCCATCAAATTTTTTATGAGAAGGAATTATTCATGTCCGCTTGATGTACGAAATTTATCTTGGTTCTTTCGTGGCTCCGCTACTCTGAAATAATTCTTCGTGAATCCAGATGTGAGTTGTTGAGAGATTAGGTCAAGTAAGTGATGAATTGGTTTGAATACAGTATTTCATGGAGTATAAGTGGACTCTTTCTATAAAGAAATTCAGGAGATCAGAAAATTTTTTTCTGGAGAGAATTTTCCTATTAAGGGTAGAGACACCTATTGCACCAAGAAAATCGTTATTACGAAAATCTTTGTTGATAAATCATTATATTGACAGAAAGTCGACGTGTTTCAAAGTTGGATGTGATCAGGTTTATTACAAGTTTAGCGGACGACTGTGTAATTACGTAAATATCGTCAAGTATTTTATCAGGTTATTGTTGTGTGCAACTCGAAAAACTATGCTTTGGATAAGGTTAATTATTTTCAAGTTATTTTATTCAAGTGGACGACGAAACTGTCATCTTCTCTTCGGATAGTGGACACTGTTCCGAGAATGGACTGCACAGAAAGTTGTACAGTAATTCTTGTAGTACAGTAATTTATTTTTGAAATTTATTCTTGATTGCTTTGAGTGTTAATTACGTTTTTATGGATTTGAGATTTGAAAAGTGTATAAATTATGTTATTATTTTAAGGATTACATTTTCCATTCACGTGGAATGGATCAAGTCCGTTCACCGAGTCACCGCTTTAATTAACTCCACAACATCTCGCGTATATGGACCGAAAATTAAGCTTGACGTGAAATATTGCGAGAATTATACATTGCCAAGGATTTCCTGTTCAATTTTCTCGCGTTCTAATTTTCATATGTAAATGAATAGTGTCGACTCCGGAATGGGCGAAAGCTAGTGGCAAAAACCTTCAAGGCGTCGTGACGCAGGATTTCGCCGGATTTCCCAACGAAGGTTGTCTGGGACTTAAAGCTGGAGCTAAAGTGCGCATAGCGCCTTCCGAATTCCAGCGAAAGGACCTGTTGGACCAGGGCTGGCTTTTGGCTGCTGTCGTCGACGACACCGACGGTGTCACTGGTGTCGATTCCTCGTTGAGAATCGGACTCGTTCCGCGGAGTCTGGTCGGGAAACCGAGTCGACAGCGTCGATCAGTGATCGCGAGAGATTCGGGAGAGCTTTCCAGTGATTGATTTTTTTTTTTTTTTTTTACAAAATTGCGTTATTCATTTTGGAATTCGGTGCGTGTGGCAGAACTTCCGGTTGTGATACTCATTAATTGGAAAAGAAACTTCGGTGAGAGGGAATATTTCACCAGGTGACGAGTGGGTTTTCTGTATTTTTTCGGTGAGAGAAGGGAATAGGGTTTTTCTTGCTGGTTCCCTTCCTCTTTTTTTTGTTCTGGTTTTTTTTTTTTGAATTTGGTGGAAGGATGGGGGTGCGTGGAGTGTTCGGACTAGAGGATTATGTGGTCATTGCGGGGATTTTGGCGGCGTTTTTTGCTGTTGGACTCTATTTCAGGTTCACTGGGAACCGACAGCGAACCACTGCCGTGAGTTGACCATGAAATTTTTATCCCTTCCTGTTCATCTGAAAATTTTAATTTCTGTTGGAAGAGTAATTTTATCGAATATCATCATGATTAAAATGCAGTGGAATATCGTTTGGAAGAATCTCATAATTAGGAATTCATGCTTACGACGATTTTATTTTTCTCGGTTCCTGTTCAATAGCTCGATGTTATTTTAATATCTTTTTAACAAATTTTCGATGAAAATTGAGCTTTGTTGAGTCCCCAAACTCTTAGTTTTTTCGAGATTCAATTTTACAGTATATATTAAATAAGTAAAATTGAAAAATTTGTAATACATTGGAAAATCTTTTTTTTAATACAGGGTTGTTTACTGTGAATCCTCTTCATAATGGTTCTGCAATTTGTGATCTGCAGTGGCATGGAAATTAATATACTTTAATACAGTAGCTGAACTCCCTGAAAATAGAAAATATTTTTAGGCTTTGGTGAGTGATTCTTGAAATTTGCAATTTTCAAATTTTATATTCGATGCAGGTGGACTCTTTCTACAACTAAGTTCGAGGGACCATGAAATTGTTTTGTGAAGAACCACTATAACATGGGAAGAGAGCCCTTTCGGGCCAGAAAAAAAAATTGTTCTACAGAGAAAATTGTTTTGGACTAGATTGTTATACAGAGACTCAGAGATTCCACCTGTACAGTAGTAGCGATGATGATTGTGAGGATTCGTTTCTTTTTGAGTGGGAATTCGAAAGTCTCTCCTGGGTGTAAATTTCAAATGTTGATGAATGAGGAAGATTGAGATGCTTGCTTCAAAATCGTAGGTCTCAATCAAATATGTTTTCTGTTCACTTTATTTTATTTGGAAATCGATTGATTTGTGCTTCATTCAACCGTCTAAATGTTTTTTTTTTCTCCTTCGATAGGAGTTTTTCCTTGGGGACAAAGCAGCATCCGTGATTCCAGTGGCGTTTTCCTTGATGGCGTCCTTCATGAGTGCTGTGACACTGATGGGTGTCTCGTCAGAGACTTATGTCTATGGGGCCCAGTTTGCTGTTATTAATGCGTCATATATTATTGCGACGCCCATTGCAGCATTCCTGTTTTTGCCAGTTTTTTTCCAAGTGGGCAAAGTCACTGTGTATGAGGTACAATTTTTTTTTCATTATTGCTAAAAACAAGAACGCTACTGTAATTTAAATGCAATCGCGCTTCTTGGAGGAATGTATTTTGGTGGACCGTATTTACGAAATCACCGTTTGCTCTTGAATACGACATGCACCTTCATTTTTGCTGCCAAATTATGTAAAATAAAACTTATTCCTGTGTATGGCACAGTTCTTAGCAAACTGTTGAAATAAAAAAATATCAGAAAACATGAGAAGTTTCAAGTTACAGTACAGTAAAATGAAACTATGTTTCAGTTGTACAGTACTGTACTTGATTTGCTTCCATTTTATAAGTTATCTGGGTACTTTCCTGTTATCTCTGTACCTTCCCTCTGACCAATTTAACCTGACCTAACCTAACTTCACCTAACTGCCTCCCAAAATCAGTTTCTGCTTTCTTTGGGTTTTTGCTGAAACTGATCTAGGGTGGCAGTTGGGTCAGGTTATGTTAATTAAAAGATATTTGTAACTAACATAACCTGACCTAACCTAACTTTACCTAACCGCCTCCCTAAATAAGTTTCAGCAGAATGCGGAAAAATAAAATTTGAAGTTTCTGGTAGGTTGTTGTGATTATGAACTTGTCTTAAAGATTTGTCTGGATGGTAGTGTGGTCTAGGAATCAGGTACAGAGATAACAGGAAAGTATCGTTATCTGCAATGTGATCCAAGGATGAAGCACTCAAGTATGACTTGCATCACACTTTGTGAGGAAAAAGTACAGGGTACAAGAATAAATACGGTGGTTTTTTATTTCAATTAATAACCAAAAATTCACTTACCGGCATGTAATTCAATTAAAAATTTAGAATTGAAAACTGAAGCTAAGAGGATCTGGAGCCAATTTTATCCAAATTGATTTTCCGCTAATAATGTATTTTTGGGCAGTAATTCAGGAAATTATCTTGAAAACACAGCTATAAAAAATGAACCAGTAAGAAAAGCTTTAGCGAAAAAAAAAATTGTAAAAAAGAAATGCAAACGAAATTGTGGTTATTGGACAGGGACCTGAGAATTGAATTACTAATAAGCAATAATTTATTATAACGCGATTCTACTGTATCTAGTTCTTGAAATGAATCATGACCCAACAGAGGAGGTTACTGATTTCAGTTTGCTAAGGTTTTGTGGCATACAGTACCTTCACACCAACCATGGGCTCATGTGTGTGTGTATGTTTTTGTTTTGTTTGTTTATTCGTAGTACCTGTCGCTGAGGTTCAACAAAACAGTGAGACTGGTGGCATCCCTGTGTTTCTCCATTCAAATGATCCTGTACATGGGGGTTGTGCTGTATGCCCCAGCACTGGCCTTGTCTGCAGTGTCTGGCCTGGACATTGATGGGTCTGTGTTGGCAGTGGGGGCTAGTTGCACTGTGTACACGGCCCTGGGGGGCATGAAGGCTGTACTGGTCACGGATCTAGTTCAGGGCACACTCATGTTGGTGGCTGTCTTGGCAGTTGTGGTGGACGGGGTTGCGAGTGCAGGTGGTGTCAGTCATGTGTGGGAAACTGCCCAGGAAAGTGGGAGGATCAATTTCTTCAAGTGAGGATTTTATTGTTGAATCACTTGGATGCGTGCAGCTTTTGAAAGAATTTCTTTGAGGTCAACACACTTTATTATTATTTTCTGCAGCTTTGACCCCGACCCAAGGGTCATGTACTCCTTCTGGACCTTGGTGTTCGGCACAATGTTTCTCTACCTGTCGCTTTATGCAGTGAACCAGGCTCAAGTCCAACGTCTGATGAGTCTTGGGTCAGTATTTTTTATGAATGAAAAATTTACAGGGTTGCTTCAAATCATTAATGGACGCCTCGCGAAATACATTTTTCGTAGTTGTCCTGACACTGATGATAAGGAATTGGATGAAATGCCGTTATTTTTGCAGAAATAAATTTTTTTTTGAGAAATGTGGACGCCAGGATAATTTTCGAAGTGGAAAGAAGCCTTTGAAAAAATGTATTGCCAGTAATGACCATGGCTTTCTGAATACAGTACAGTACAGTTTTTGTATTATGTTTCGGATTTTCGTAATACTGTACTGTATCTAAATTGAAGATTTAAAAAAATAATATCTAATTATCAGTTTACTAACAAGTACAGTATTCAGTTTTTTATTAACATACAGTATGTTAAAATATTTGACTGTACTGATTTACCTTGAATTTTTAAAGAATTTTTCGAAGATTCTCGAACTGAGTAGCGAATATCTTTGTATTAACACAGTCAATGGACGTTTAGGGGTCTAGAAAAATTGTGGCTGTTTTATTGAACTTGAAGCTTCTGGATTTATGGAGTTTTTGGATAATCAACTGTTTATTGGAAATTATGAATTCCGTTAACCGAGGTACTGTACCCCTAACTTGTGAAACTCGTGTCGTCTTTCTTGCAGGTCGTTGCGGAAAGCTCAATACTCATTGGTTCTGCAGTTGCCAATTTTAATTATGCTGAGTTTCACGACGTGCTTCTCTGGAATCGTGATGTACGCCAAGTTCAAGGACTGCGATCCGAAATTGTCTGGAAAGATCAAGTCCTACGATCAGGTGATTTTTTACGCGATGATGGACGTTGAAGTAAAGCCGTATAAATGTGGTAATTTTGGCGATTTATGGACTGGTATAATTGTGAAGTTTTGTCGAAAAAAGATGGCTGAAGTTTGAAAGATTTAGCACTGTATAGTATTTAGTGGCATAATCTCAACAAGTTTTCGATGCGTGCAAGAGGAAAGCGATAATTGTTTATCCCTGTCTCGAGATTCGAATTCATATCTATTCACTTCTAATTTCAGAGGCGATTGCGAGACAAGAATTTTCTCTCAAAGATGAAATTTCTCTCACACTCCTCTAACAATTTTTTTAAAATCTTTCACAAAAAATGGTTGTCTTGAGGATTTGAATGATTTCCGTCAATTTCTCCGAGTGCGAGTCATTGATTATAATTCAGAGAAAACCAACAATTCTGGCCGTCGTCAAACACGAATGAGTGGGGGGGGGGGGGTTTTATGTCAGGATTTTTCCTTCGTATTTTTCCCTCGTCTGTTGGACGCAGATTCGATGATTACATGTTTAGACAGGCCTGGAGTATGATTTATCGTTTTTCTTTCGGGTCTGGTAACTATCTTTTAAAATGAATTATCTTTTAAAATGGGATTTGGATTTTATTTTCTTGTTTTTTTTTTTTTCAGCTTCTTCCTTTCTACATGGTGGAGGCGTTGAGTGCGAGACCTGGTTTGCCGGGATTGTTTGTATCCGTGAGTGTTTGGACTGGTTTTTCTTTTCGTTGCCCTCTCTGTAAACATTTTGAAAACGCATGTTTCCCTTTTGCTGATAGATGTCGTTGCCTCGGGACATTTTTCCGATTTTGGCATTTTGCTGAGATGAAACCTTGGGGGATTCAAAAATTTACCCTCGGCTCTTAACAGAGAAACTTTTGCGACATGTCCCATTCATTTAGACTTGGTCCATATTTTTGAGAATTTTTATATATTAAAAAAAACCCAACTTCAAATCTTGGAAAATGTTCGGTCAAGTCTTTTTGATTGTCTTTTTTTTTTTCTAGGGATTATTCAGTGGGACATTGTCTACCATCTCTTCAGGAGTGAATGCCCTTGCAGCAGTTGCTGTTCAGGACTTCATCAAGGTCAGATTTTTGTCTCTTTTTTTGCAATCCACACGTGTGCTGTTATGCTTTAAAAGTGTATGAGGCATGAGTCATTGGAGAACCAGTGAGTTCACATGAAGGTGTCGGAGGTATCCATTGATTTATCGAGGTTGATTTTAGTTGCCCGTAAGATTAAACGTTCTATTTCTCTTGATTAGTGGCTGATCTAATTAGTAATTAAGGATTATTATTGAATTTTTTTAAAACTCGCCTCATTTTCGTGAAATAAAGGAATAATGAATGGCATCTTTCTAAAATGTTGCCAGTTTCTTCTCCCCGACAAAATCAATGAAACAGTTTTATTGAAAAAATAATACATTGGGCATACCTTCTTAGATCTTTTTTGCGCGTTCGTTCCGTTTTCAGCATTTTGAAAAGCATGCGTTCAATTCAGTATCACAAGTCTGGCAACGATTCAACAACTTTTTCAACTTCTCCAAATGTAAAAACGTCTTGAAAAATTCTGGATTTGCGAGGAAAGGGGAGTTGGATGAAGTTTGATTTCATATTTCCAAATGAGATGATCAGTGTCATAGTAGGGTACAGTATAGTGAAATCTCGTTACAACGAAGCTCTTGGGTCCTTCTTTAGAAAGATAAATTCATTTTGAAGCGATTTGAATGACATTTTGTTGTCATTGGGCAATGACCTGAAAAAGGAATTCTTAGCAACCAATAATCCGTTTATAGCGATATTCGTTGTATTGAGATTCTAGAGTTTAATTTTATGTATGAAGTATAATTGAATGTAATACAGTGAAATCTCATTAAAACAAACTCGTTGGGACTCCAGCAAAAGTTTTTTATATCGAATAATTTCTTTATAAGAAATAATTTGTTATAACGAGATTTTTATAACATGTACCCTGTAGGATTTTTGCTGGGACTTTGAAAGAAGTTTGTTGTACAGGAGAATTTGTTGTAATTGTATTTGTTGTAATAAGATTTTACTGTATCTATAATATCTGGGAAAGCGCAGAATTTATGGGTTTAGAATTTCTAATTATGGGAATTCATAAATTTTATTGTGGCGGAAAAAGAGGAATTGGCCTCCTTATTGCAAATTCTTTCTCATCTGAACTGGCTTTAAAAAAAAATCTGTTTGGCGAAGTGTGAAAAATTGTGAAAATCGTTGGAAAGAAAATAGTTTTTTTTTCGATGCTTCTCACGGAAGCAGAGAACAAATGTGTTGGCTTTTGTTTAATGTCACTCTTCCTTTTTTGTTTTCTTTGGATGAACTCTCACTTGTGTCGACTTGAACTGAAATGAAATTGCGGTGGTGATGGTGTTGGTGTTGGTGGTGGCTTTCAGCCGTTTTTGTTCGCCAAGAACCCGTTGAGTGAGCGGACGATGGCCAGGATTTCTCTCGCACTTTCCCTCGCTTTCGGCTGTGCTTCCATTGCACTCGCTTATGCTGCCCGGGCCCTGGGCGGGGTCTTGGCTGCGAGTTTCACTGTTTTCGGAGTCGTTGGAGGACCTCTGCTGGGCCTCTTCACTCTGGGCATGTTTTTCCGGTTTGCCAACTCTCTGGCAAGTGGCCCTTTTTTTTGGCGAAAAAGAAAACCGCAGTATTTGCGTACTGTGCAATGATTCCTTGTTGAAGCTGTCGCTCTGTTAATGTGCTAATTTGTTTGAAAAAAAAAGACTCGCAGAAATTCGTTGACGAGTTGACATTTTAACCAACTCTTTTGAGAGAGGATTGGCTAAGTTTAAGCCATTCCAAAAAAAAAAAATCAGAGGGTTGTTGGACAAGTTTTTTCATTTTTGTGCCTTTTTTTTGGAGTCTTGGATGTATGTTGTTGTTGTACACTCTAGATTTTATGATTCACAGGCTAAATCCCTGAGTGTCATCAACCTTTACAATGATAATCAGAGGAGTGTCAACTATATTTAATTTAGTTGTTTGCTCCTTTTTTACTGGGCGCATCCCAGACCAAGTACTTTAATTAATTGGTTAATTTTAAGTAAATGAAACACAAGTAATTTTGCTTTACAAGTGTTTATTACAATTCTGACATACATGTATCAGTGCTCCTAAAATGGACTCTGCTCCTTTTCAGAGGGTTTTCTACCACTGAGAATAATATGGTTTTGCAGGGCCTTTTATCAACTATAGAAAACCAGACAGTAAAAGGTCATTGCTCAGACACTAGCATTGGGCCAGACAAAAGAAAGGAAAGATGGAAAGTATTCCGCAACAGCGTTTCACCAAAAGTTAATTATACAGGGGTGGACTGCCAGAGGCAATTCTTAATTGAGCCAGAGAGACAGAAACAAGGTTGCCATCCTGCAATAATGAGCAGGGCAAGGAAAAGTTGGAGCAGTTCTGAACAGCTGATAACAATGTGTACTGTGAAGTCTTGTTACAACAAAGCAGCATTGGGACAAGTAAAATAGCTTGGTTTAAAAAAATATTTGTTGCAAAATTCAATTTTTGTAATTTGCCTCAAAATATTTGTCATGAGCTAACTCAAATACAGTAACATTGTAGCTATTATAGATGGGGACCAAAGAAGCAAAGATTTTTATACAGTAGAATAAGAAAAACCCTTGGTGAATTTACAAGTTCAGTATTTGTAAAAGCAGCTTCAACAAGGGACTATAAATCTTCTTTTCACTTGTTTTTATTATTGTTTATTTCCTTGTTGTCTCTTTCCGCCACCAGGGGGCTTTGGCTGGTCTCTTGTCAAGCCTATTGTGTTGCTCTTTGGTAGGCTTTGCTGGCACAAAAATGCCGCGCTCTTCTCTTCCCTTGTCTGTAGCTGGTTGTGGGAACAATTCTTCTGTCTCAACTGCTCTTCATGTTTCCATGCCTGGTTTTGAAAACCAAGGGATCTTTGAGTACATTGGTTCTATGTCCACCATGTACTACACAGGCTTTGGTGCTGCTGTGTGTGTTCTTGTTGGTGAGTGTCTTTTCTCTGTCGGTCCTCTTGAAAAAGTCTAGTTTTTTTTGTCTGTCATGATGTGAACAATGTTTCCTTTGCTTACACAGATGAACTCTTTACTTCTATGCAATGATATTTACCTATTGTTATCTATAATTAAAGGAAGAATTATTTACAAAGAATAGCGCAGTAATTTATCATTGATAGTCTTGACAAAGCAATTTCTTACAAATCACAAAAGACACAGCACAGAGAAAATGTGTTTGGCACAAAGTTTTGAGACTAATTCAACAGGCCAACTTGAGTGCTAAGTTAGTTCTGATGCCCAGAATATAATTCTGGCTCTTCTAAAGACTACAGGCATGAACGCCATAATGATGAAAGTATGAAAGGGGAGGATGGTCGAAAACTCTGGGAAAACAGATATGGTTATCTTTTCCTAAAAAGTATGATTTTAGTGAGTTTTTTTATACCGTGGAATCTTGTCACAACAAATTTCAATACAACGAATTATTGGTTACAACAAAGTCGTTTTTTAAATACCTGCCTATGATAGCAAAATTGTTCAAATTGCTTTCTAACGAATTCATGTTTATAACGAAGTTTTTTTCCCCAATCCCAACAGATTTGTTGTAACTATTTTTGAATTTTTTTTTTCCTAAAACCTGGTCTTTTTTGTGTTTGTCCAATCTTTTTATCCTTGCTCTTCTGTGCATTTTCTCATTTGACAATTCGCATCTGCTCATTGCTGTTTCTGCGCCTGATGATTTGAGACTTTCTCTAGTGACGTGTACTAATTGCAATTTTTCTTTTTTCATCAGGTATCGTGACGAGTTTGGCAACTGGTGGCACGCGGAAAACGAAAGTGAGCGACACGTTGCTGTCACCTCTGGTAACGTGGCTATTGCCCTCGGGCGACGAACCCGTGGAACCCATGGAAATCGGGCATTTATCTTCTCCAGTCCCTGAGAACAACGGTATTTTGTTTCAGAAAAATTCCGACTCTAGTATCGATATTACGATGAAAAACTCGTTGTTGCGCGACGGGGAACCGGAAAAGTCGCACCTTGTGTTCAATTGATTTGATTGTATGTATTTCATGTGGAATAATTTTTAGCGTATTCGTAAGAGAACAAAAAAATAAGTCAATCATGCCGAAACATTTCGCGAAAAGGAAATATGAAAATGAGCTAGTCTTTGATTCCGAAGTGGACATGGTGAAAAGGTCTTCCAGAAATTGATCGTCTGTGAAACTTATTGCGGGAAAATATTAGTGGTATAAAAAAAAAAAAAACACCGAATGATCAAAAAGGGAATGAATTTGTTGTATGTGTTTTTTTTTCTCTATAGAAATACGACGTCGAAAAGAATTTCCTTTTATCTAAATTCTGCCGTATTCTGTGTTTTCCAGGACAGTGATTTATTTTGTAAGAAAGTGAGACATGAAGGGTAAAAAGGGACGGAAAGGAGCAGCGAAACCTGCGATTGTGGAATCGGATGAGGATGATGATGATGATGTGCCAGATCCGACGAGGGAAGATTTCGTTTATGATGCAGTCGATCTTCATTCGGCGTCAAAGTCCAAAACAGTGGAACGGAGTGATGAAGAAGAAGAATCTGATGATGCTGGGGACAGAGTGAGACGCTGAATTGATTGCTTTTTTCTTTTCTTGTGCGAACGTGTCGGGATTTTTGCATCGATTTTCAGTCATTGCAAGAAACTTTTCGCATAATTTTTGAGCTCGATTGAATTTTTAGATTTTTATTAAACCTGTCCTCGAAATTTCAAACTAGCAACTTCCCTTGAAAGTCAAAACTGTTGCTTCACTGAAGAGCTCTATCTCTCTGGAACAAAGAGGGTTCAAGAAAAAAATTCGTTTTGAAGATAATTTCGTTATAGAGAAATCCAATGTGGCCAAAGAATAATTTGTTGTACAAAAAAATCGATGGAGAGTAAGTCCATGTGTATTTTTTTGTAGAATTTTCTTGGGCATTCTAGCCTTGAACTATTTTTGGCAAATTTGAAAATAATTATTATTGCAATCATAAAAAAATGTGGGATCAAATTTTAAAAAAGGAAACTATTCTGTGAATGATGGACATTGGATAAGTAGCTTTCAGCCTGTTTTTAAGTAATCCATCAGTTTAAGAAATTGCGTAATTGGTAAGAATTCATTCCTTAAAATGATGAGATGCATTTTCACTTGTCTACATTTCGTTTATTGCAGAAAAATTGTGGGAAGATCAGAACAGGAATCAGTTGATCATTTAATATATTTTTGGAATTATTTTCATTCAATCTGCACGAGAACAAATCAAGATGGAAATTGTGTTGAAAAACTTTTTAAAATCTTTGTTTTGCTTATTTGCAGGTTGTCGGATTTAAAGACCTGGGTTTTGAAGACACAGAATCTGAAGATGACGAGTTCTATGAAGAGCAATTGGCACGTGTGAAGCGGGACTTGGCCAAGGATGAAAATGCCAGTGACATTGAAAGTGTGGAGGATGACGAGGAAGAAGGTGAGAGAGGGAAACAAACTTTCTCTTCAAATTCAAATCTTTTGATGAACTAGTTTTTCAGAAATGTCTTTTTAAAATATCGTTTTGGTCCCTTGCTCCGATTTGTTTTTTTGTTTGAATATTCCTTGCTCTTTTTTTTGTGAATGTAGTACAGTATTTAAAATGTTTTTTTCGAGAGATTCCTAGAGAAGATTGTAACTCATGTACAGTAATTTTTTTGCACATTGTATGTGAAATACAGTACTTCCTAGATATACCTTGTAGATTCTATTTTGGCCATTTGATCCATCATTCAGTTGTTTTTCTTTTCTCCTTGCTCTTCTGTGAAATGTAGTATTTTAATGGGTTTTTTTGAGATTCCAAGAATGTATTTCAATTAGCATCTTCAATAAGGTAATTCATGCATTTTTTGCAAATTTATTTGAAAAATGATTACATTTCTGATGATGATGTCGTTGAATTATTATCCAATTATTCTGTCCTTGCCCTTCTAACGAATGTAAAATAAAATTCCGAGAGAAAATTATCATTAGCATTTCAAAAGTAATTCTTGCATATTTTATATATTGCATGTTTGAAAAAAAAAATTAGATTTCTTTTTGTGAATTCTGGTCTCGGTCATTTGATCAGGTGTCCAATTATTTTTAATTTTTCCTTGCTCTTTGGTCAAATGCATCATTTGGTTTAGTTTGTGAGGATAAGCCGAGATTTTTAATTACAGTAGTACCTTGAAGGGAATTAATTTTTGCACATTTTATCACAAAAACTCTTCATCTCTTATCGGATTGTTTCTGGGCTCGTGTCCTTGTTCTCGAGTCATTTGTATTATTTTCATTTGCGTGTTCAAAAGACGGCAGACGAGGCACAGACGCGTGGGGCCGGAGGATGACGGACTTTCGTGGAGCAGATGTTGTCGACCCGACCAACGAGGCCCTGCTGCAAATGGAAGAAGAAGAAGCTGCTGCCCTGAGAAGTCGAATTGCCAAAGACTTTGATGAAGCGGATTTTGACATTGGTCAGTTGCTTCCGTCGGAGACGAGTTCGCAAAAGAAGACTAAAAAGAAGAAGAAGCAGCAGCAGCAGCAGCAGGTGGAAGGAGATGAGGAACTTTCAATAAAGGAGCCTAGAGTAGAAAGAGACTTGTCCACACTTTCCAGAGCTCAGAAACTGGAACTAGTGAAGCAAGAGTCCCCTGAGTTGATTCATTTGCTGCAGGACTTTCAAGGTGAGAGAATGGAAAAAAATTGAGGAAAAACAATGCGGGAATTCTAAACTTTTTTTTTATTCTAAATTTTTCTTCAGCAAAACTGAAGGAATTGAAGACCAAGTTGGAGCCTGCTCTGAAAAATCTGGAGATCTCATCGAAAAAGTCGGGCGTTTTTGCTGATTACGTGCGGCTCAAGTTTGATCTGACTTCTTGGTAAGTTTTTGTATTTCATATTGTGCGTATTCTAGAATCTAAATTGAAAATTTCCAAATGACGAACAAATAGTGCCGGTTGCCATTTTTATGGCTGCCAACTTGTGCCAGACCCCTGAGTTTACCATCCTTTTAAAATAGAGGGTAATGCTGGATTAACAAATAATGATCTGCTCCGTGTATGAGACGAATATGGGAAATGATGCGCAAACGCGATTTTTTGTATTCACCAAGTGCATTTTTTACGGAAAATTGAAGGTTTTTATTTCGATTTTTACCCCTCTTAATTCATGTAATTCACTGTAAAGTTTATTGTTATTTTGCTTGAGAGAAAACATTGAATTCAATTTTTGAGTAAGCGTTTGGCATTTGAGTAAATATGGTACAATTGCCATGAGAGGATACATATATTCAGCAAAATGTACAATATAGCAAAATCTTTTTATTACCTTTTATTTTGATGAAGGATTTGGGTTTGGCTCAATTAATATATTGTATTAATAATTTTGGTTTTTAGATTGGTGAATAAAAATTTCTTTTTGAAATTAAATCATAAAATGGGTACAAGTAATGTTTTCCACCCACCCAAAAAAAAACCCCCCATTCACGGACAGCATCATTTGCGAGAGGGACACAATCCATCGATCGTGAAGGAAGTCTCGCCGTTCTACCGTCAATGAATGGGGGTCCTTTTTCGGGTGGGTGAACCCCCCATTCACGGACAGAGTCATTGACGAGAGGGACACGCTCGCGAAGGGTTTCTCGCCATGCTGCTGCCAATGAATGGGAGGAGTCCTTCGGCGGGGCAGGGATTCATGTCCACCCTCGTTTGGTAAAAGTGGTAGTGCTGCGCTGATTCCGAAAATCAGCGACCTTATCTGGAACCAGTAGGAATAAGTGTAGGCAAACAGATCCAGTGCGCTGCATGGGATCCTACCGTCATCTTGATGCACTTCCCGAAAGTCTTCCCGAGACGATGATTATATTTCCTGTAAATGAAAATATGTTTATTCAATGAATGTAATTGATGTAATTCGTCATCATAGCGTAGGTGTGAATGTAAAAGAACTATTGAGTATTTTCTGCACTAAGCAAGAGCTTTCCAGTTGCAGCCAAAGTTTTACATTACATTATTCAACATTAAATGTTTAATGTTTAATTTTACAATATTTACTCTTCCTATTTTGTTGTTGAAAATTTTCAACAATCTGTGACGTGGGTAGAGAACTTTCGACTGTCTCTTAAAAGTTCTTACTTTCATCGTGCAGTAAATCGAAAAACTCAAAAAAATATCTGATTTCTAACAGAACATCATGGGTTATTTTATGCGTATCATTTGTTTATATTCACACCTACGATGAAGGTGTCCTCCTGGGAGAACATTCATACCTATTAATTTACTGTAAATTTTAAAAAGGTTAGATATGAATATTATGAAACCAAGAGAGACGTACGTATGTCAAAATTTCTGGAATCTTATATATAAAAAATGAAAACGGAAAGAAAGTAATGGTTCACCATTTCTTTCAGGTATTGCGTGAACATGAGCTTCTACATGGCACTCAAGTCGAACCGCACTCCAGTGACGAACCACCCGATCATCAAGCGCCTGCTGGGGATCCGAAAGTTGCTGAAGGAACTGGAACCCGCGGATGAAAAGTTCGACTCTGCCGTTGAAATGTTGTCCCAGCAAAAGTCCCTGCCAGAAATTGTCGAAGCAGCCACAGCTGGGAAATTAGTACAAGCTTCTTTGAATGAAGACATGGAGGAGGAGGAGGAACAAGTAGGAGGAGAAGAAGAAGAAACGGATACTCGTGTGAACCCGTGGGAAGTGGAAGACGGAGAAAAGAGGGCCATTACATACCAGATTGCCAAGAACAAGGGTCTCACGCCTCACAAGAAGAAAGAGTTGAGGAATCCCAGAGTCAAGCACAGGATGAAGTACAGAAAGGCCAAGATTCGCAGGAAGGGTCAAGTGAGGGAAGTGAGAAATGAAGTGTCGCGTTATGGTGGGGAAATGTCTGGCATTCGCGCCGGTGTTGTCAAGAGTGTCAAATTTAAATAAAAGATGGCCTTCTCTTGATATTCCCTCTTTTGCGTATGTTTTTTCCTTGAACAGGATTTTAGTTCAGTGCAATTTTTTTAACATTGAGGCCACTTATGTCGATTTAGAGAAAACTCCTCTTTTCTCTCCCTCCCCAATGTTTCAGTCTAGAGGACTGAAAAAAAAAATTTGAAAATTAAAAAGAAATGCATAAAAAAATCCTCTTAAAATTAGAATTGTAGTCAGAGGGGTGTGGGAAGAAGAAAAAAAAAGTGTTTTCAATGAACAGTCCATTGTTCAAATGCTTGTAAGAGCTGAAGGGAGAACCTAAAATAACTTCAAAATGTTGGAATTCAATCAGTTTAGAAAGGGATACATTGTGAGAATGTTAAATTTGAAACCATGCAAAGAAAAGTCAGACCAGAAAAGTGTGCTTTCTTCAGCATTCATTTCCCACATCATAAACTCAACAAACCTCCAACCAGCCCCCAGAAAAAGGAAGGAACAAAACAGGTCAGATCCCACATGTTGACCCCACTCATGAGCTTCAATCAAACATCTTTCAGATTAATCCTACAAAATCCCTTTGTTGAGTATTCATAAACCTGTCACCAACTATAAAGCTCCAGCTCCAAAAAAGAAACAGAAATAAAGACAAGAATTCCTGGAGGGGGTTTCAATCAGTCAGAAATTTGGGGACACCCCAGCCAAGGAAAGATTACTTTCGAATATCCCCACTCTTGGACGGTTCTGCTTGCAGTACAGAAACTGATGAAAAGGAAAACTTACATTCCTTAATAGACCTTGTTTCTCTTTTGGTCCAGCACTAGAAAAACAAGTACAGAAGGTACCAGTAGAGGGTTTCTCAAAAGTTCTTGCATGTCTGAGAAAATTGTTCTTTGACATGATTGGAACATAACCGTCAATTCTTTTTTAGTAAAACCACCGTTCAATCTTTCTGAAGCAAAAGATTAAGTGATATTTTACCACCAGAATTCCTTCACCCAGGACTTCTGAGAAACCCACAATATACATATGAACCCTTTCCTCACCAATAAATAGGATAGGAGAAAGACCACAACCAAAAAAAAAAATTTTCAACAAGAAGGAACACTACTTATCACTTGTTTCCACAGATGTCACTCCCTGCACTCAGAAATGAAAAAGGAGTTTTCAGATCTCTGTCTGTTTCCCAGTTTGCCTCAGCAACTCGCTCATCTCCTGCAGTTCTTCTCTCAGCTTCTGGTTCCTGCTTTCACTAACAGGGTTCGTCTTGAAGACATCTTCCAGTGCTGCCAAAGTGGACCTGCGGGCATTGTGGTCATGGCGGAGTGACGCTGTGCACACAAATGCATCCCTGTATAAAGTACAAGAAAGAAACGTTAATTTTTGAATTACAGGTAGCAAAATATTAATAAATGGACAAACATGCAAATCTTGGAAGTTCTGAGTAGACAACTACAGTTAAACCTCCCTAAGTTGATTTTCCACTTAATCCCTCACCAAGTCAAATGACAAATTTTTAAAACGTTTTTATTAACTCGCTTTCTTGTCTGTTTGTTTGTCTGGATCAAATTTTGCTCACTTCCTGACTAGCTAGCAAGCTGAAACTTTCAGGATAGCTTATAAACTGATGACAATGCAATCTTTTGTGAAAAGAAAAATTATTTTTGAAAACGTGGTTTTTTAGATTAATTTTTTAATCTACTAAATTTTTTTTTTGGTTGCTTATGTGGCTTGGATGAGAAATTGCTTCTTGATTGCGCGTTGTTTCAATTCACTTATTTTAATGTCAATTTTCCCTTCGTGATTTTTTTTCTATTTGATTGGGGGTACATTTTTTAAAACCTTTCCAAAATAAGGGGCAAACTGTTATTTTCATACTCTTTACAATAAGGGATTATGCCTCAGGATATCTATGAATACTGATAATCATTGCTCAGATAATTTCTAAGAATTGATGTACCAACATTCACAAACTCAAAAATTCTGTGAATATGTTTTGGGAGTCCCTTCAAATTCAATACAGAAAGGTTCATCTGTACATTGTACAGTTCATATATAGGATCCTCTAAAATCTGATCATGCCTCGGTGCCAATCTATTTTGACGGTTTCTTTACAAGTTTGTTAAATGCACGCATTGTAACAAATTCTGTAAATTTCCTACAGTGCAGTATTTGCACAAAATATAAAGCTTCAGCAGCATCAACATTCCAAGCAGCAGTGGATTTCCCACAGTTGTCAATAATAACCCATTCATTTAATTTGCTTTTGCAAATTAGCTTTTTTGTGAGTTTGAAATTCACAAAAAAAACATTTAGAAATTAATTATGCTAAATGAGATAAAAATAAAAAAGAAGCTGAATATTTTGAGCAGATCCTGCAGAAATTTCTCAATTCCTACCTACATTTGTTGGGATGCATGCAATTGCATAAGCAAAGCATAAACTCTGCATGGTGCACTGAAACACTTGGGTTTTACATCACAGTAAAATTTGGTACATCTTCTAAAATTTGGTAACCTGATAAGTGTCCAACAAGTAAAGAAAGAACAAGCAAACACACTATAAATACCTCTAAAACTGACCCAAACTCTTTCATGCTTTCCTCTAACACAGAAGTCAATCTGGTCAACTGAAGACTGAAACTAAACCAGGAATGAAACCATCATCATCAGCAGCAGCATTTGCCTTTTGCATTGATCAGCAGCAGGTGCCTCAGCATCAATGTCTTCAGCAGCAGCAGATGAGTCACCATGTGCAATCACAACCCTTTCTTCTGTAGTGCCAGCACCAACACCACCTGGTACCAAGGATGTTGGTGGGTATGGTGTTTGTGGTGTAGGCACAAAAGGCACATGGTTTGCACTGGCTGCTGTTGTCTGGGCCTGGGTTGCTGCAGCTGCACCAAATGCTGCAGCAATCTCTGCAAACTCACTCTGTCTTGCTCCTTCCTCACCCTCAGACTTCAATACTTTTATCTTCTGGATCATTTCCTTTATTTCATACCTGTGATATTCAGGAGGACAAATAAAAAAACCAGGTGAATAGACAGGTATAGCACTCAAAAATATAACTTGAGAAGAATGAATTGAAAATCATTGAGAAAAAAATTGCCAAACTGCTGGATAAAGGTATAGAGTGTACAATTTATATAGAATCCCAGGTAAAAGTAATAGCTTCAAATGATTTCTCCTGAAAGATTGTGTTAATTGAAAATTGTTTGGAAACAGGTTAAATATTTTGTGCTGACTATAGTTGCATTGTGCTGGGATTTTTGTCACAAAAATCATAATCCATGGATTTTTATACATAGTTTATTTTCTTTCAATATCCTCATATACAATATTTCACTGGAGTGAATTATTACTTTTCTGTTAGACCAGAATGCATGTGTAAAACAAATTTATGGGGAAGATGTGGAAACACTTTTGAATGTTGACAATTGTCAATTAAAGCATGTACATCAACAAATCAAAGTAAGTTGAAGAAAATCCTAATGAAGAGAATATGTAATTTTGACTTATGTTCAATCTTGGAATTCCTCCCATGATTCAAGCATTAATTTGGTCACAGAAATTAGAGGTTTTAAAGATCTTCTTTATTTTTTTGTAAAACGCTTTGCATCATCTCTTTTTACTTGGCAGTGCCCATATTTTAACATGAATGATTTCAGTAGTTTGACACCCCAAAAAAATGGATTGTCTCACCTCAGGAGACCCAGAAAGCATATCTTGACAAAGGCAATGACGCAGAACCCCAGGACGAACAGAGCATCTGCACTCTTGGACACCCACTTGGCCAGCTCTGGGCCACATCCGTCCAACCGCGGCTCCAGTTTGGGTGCCAAGTCAGCGTCCAAGCAGGTGAAGTTGAGTGTGGGCGACACCTTTTGATTCAGACGGCGACTCGCGCTCGAACCATCACTTTGTCGCATGGACAGATGTCGCACCATGTGCGCGCCTGTCCTCTGCCAATGCCTGTGGCGATGTGTGGCCCTTGTTTTTCGTTTCTTTCTGGTCTGGAAACCATCTCCTCCTCCTCCTTCTTCTTCTTCTTCCTCCTCCTCATCATCTTCATAGTGCGCATCATACTCTCTACGGTAACTACAGAAAAATATTTATAAATAAATCTCTTGCTCCCAGCAGCACAAAAAGAACAAAAGGACCACAGTACTCCATCAGTACAGTACTTCAAATCACAGCATTTGTTCCTGCTGCTGCTTCCAGTATTGAAGTGGGATTCAAGGAAGGAACAATGAAAACCAAATCTTTGTCACAGTCACAATCAAATGCCTGGGGCTAGAATATTTCAAGTTTTCATCAGGCCTCAATAAGCAAATGTTGTACTGTATATATATATATATATGCCTCCTCAAAAGTTTTACCCTCTATCATGGGATGTGTCATCTTGAATAGATAAATTCAGCAAAATCAAAGAAACTGTGAAGTGGACAAATATTAGTATTTTAATGTTGTGGGTGAAGTGAATTTCATATATATTCAACATCAAAAACCGGAGAGGCCAACCTGATCCAGCTTTTGAAAAAAAAAAAACATTGAAATATCCATGGAAAATAAACTTATGCACATGAGTGAAATTTGAAAACAAGCAAATGCCTGGGCTGCATAATATCCAGTTTTCAGGTCTCAAACAAGTGTTAAATTGTCCCTCCTAGACAGTTTCCCCACTTCATCATTGGATGCTGTGTCATCTTGCATAGATAAATTCAACAAAATCAGAATTAACTCTCAAGTGCACAAATAATAAAATGTTAATATAGTGGGTGAAGTGAATTTCAGATATTTTCAACATCAAAAAAGGAAGGGGTCAGCCTGATCCAGGTTTTAAAAAACAAATGATTCAAATATCAATGGACAAAAAAATTGTGCAAATGAATTCATCAATCAGTTATATATAGTTGTTGCAAGTGGCCATTGTACTGATGAATATATGCAGAAATGCTCATTTTATTGTTCCCCTTTTCTCATCTCACCTCTTATTATCCCCAAGTGGGGCATCATCAGGGTCATCCAGGTGACCACTAGCAAAACTTCTAGGAGTAGTAGTAGGGGCAGATAATTGCAGAGGCAAAGCCTGACTGGGATGGCAACAAGTAGCAGGCACATGAAATGTCAACATGCCCTGGTGCTCAGAGCCTGGGGCCACTGCAGCGGCTGTCCCAAAGACTGAGGTGGCAAATGCCAGGGTTGCATTGTAGTCCAGTGGGCCAGCTACTCCACAGCACTCAGACTCCACCTGCAGCCTGTCCCAGCGCCTTGTGAACTCTGCATCTGTGCCATAGGACTGCTGCAACTGATGCTGCAACATGGGCAACATGTCCCTGCATATCCTGTCATACCTGTAATCATTTTTAACATCTCTCATTAGCAACCATGAACAGTATACAGTATTACAATACTAACATAATTAAAACAAAATGTTAGTCCAAGTGATACAGCTGTAATCACTCATAGGCAAATCATTGTTTTTCCCCCCTCATCAATTGACATTTCCATTCAACCCAAACATTTTTAGCACCAGCAGTGAGGCATACATGGAAAGATCATGACACTTTTTCATATGGAAATATTTTTATCAAACCTCCACCTGAGACAAAATCACAGTCCAGTTTTATGAAATGATTCTTCAGATACTGAATTAAAATAATGAGAAAACTATAATTTTTTGTGGAAAAAAATAATCATTAAAAATTGTTGAAAATTACAGAAAAAGTAGGAAAAAAATGTTTGTCCAAGTGATACACCTGTAATCACTCATAGGCAACTCATTGCTTTCTTTCTCATCAATTGACATTTCAATTCAACCCAAACATTTTTAGCACCAGCAGTAAGCCATAAATGGAAAGATCATGACACTTTTTCACATGGATATATTTTTCATAGTCAAGTTTTATGAAATCATTCTTCAGATTCTGAATTAAAATAATGAGAAAAATATAAATTTTTTATTTGTGGGAATTAAATAATCATTAAACAATTTTGAAAATTACAGAAAATGTATTTCTAAAAAAAAAGAAATATTAAAAAAAAATTCTAGAATGAACACATTCTTTAAAGCTTGTAAGACGGATGGAAATTCTATTCAAAACTGGAAAGTTTTCCCTTACTGTTTTGCAGCAAATCAAAAAACTTGAAAAAATCCCAGAACCTAAAATGTGGATGATAGCTCAATGGTGGATTTAATTTTTATTTTTTCAAAGTGGTACCTATAGTCTAGAAATACCCAAGGTCCATCAGAAATGGGACAAGCCTATTACATACTGTACATGGAGAATAAACTGTTGCTCATGGGACCAAATAAAAAATAAATAAAATAAAAAAATTATCTTAATAATAACGTAATTTTTTTTTCTTCACAAAAACAATATACAAATGAATGGTCAATAAGTCAAAAGTCAACTACACCTGATGATCCACACGACCCCGACCCCCAAGTCCCCCAGCAGCAAGCCCAGCAGCATGAACCAGTACACGTTGAGCAGGCGTTCGTTCAAATGCCTGGCCGCGTAGCAGCCCACGGCCTGCACGACCCCGGCCTGTACCAGCACCGCGGCATACGCGTACACCAACGTCGGCTGGTAGAACCGCACGTGCGGCACAAAGGCCAGTCGGTGGTCAGCCAGCACGGTGCCCGCGTAGCAGACAAACACGGCCACGGCCAGGAGCAGCACGAGGTTGCAGGCGTAGATCCACAGGCAATAGTAGCGCATTGCGGCACCCACACGCTGGGCCACAGCCTGCCAACACGCCCACACCTGCATCCGAAGGAAGCCCCTCTTTTTTTTTTTGTTTTTTTTTTGTTTTTGTGTGGGCAGCAGCTGCTGGCACCAACCCAACCAACCACACACCCCTTATTTAAATGCAGCTGCTGTGCTGGCAGCAGCAGCACCCAACAGAGACAACACAGAAGAGTGTGCACCACTGCTGATGGTTCCTCTCTCTGGTGGTGGTGATGGTGTGGGATGATGACAGGATGTCCTGCTGTTGCTGCTGCTGATGATGATGATGTGTCTTCATGCTGGCCCTGATGGTGCTTCAATATTGCACCATTTTCACTATATACTGTGCCACCAAAAGCAAAACAAAACAAAAAAACCCACTATGCTTTTTTATTTCACCATAGTCATTCAAATGAAAAAAAACCTGTAAATATATAGTTGCATATACAGTAATGTGCATCATCAGAGAAAATAAGAAGAAACACCAACATTTACACTGAACATGTACTGTACCTTCAAAAAAATCAACCTCACCAATTACAACTTGAATACACTTTCAAAATCACCACTACCACCACTATAAGCTCCTCTCACTCCAGTGTTGATGGTGCTAGAGAACCTGTTCAGCTACTGATGATGATGGAGCCTTATTGCACCATTTTCACTGTGCCACCAAAAATAAACACTATGCTTTATTATTCCACCATACGCATTCAAATGATTTAAACCTGTAAATATATAGATACATATACAGTCCAGTAATTTGCATCATCAGAGATAATGAGAAGACACCCCAACATCAACACTGTACTGTACACATTGAAAAATCACCCTCACCAATTAAAAATTGAATACACTTTCAAAATCACCAATATAGCTCCTCTCACTCCAGTATTGATGGTGCTAGAGAACATGTTCAGCTACTGATGATGGAGCCTTATTGCACCATTTTCACTGTGACAAAAAGAAAACACTATGTTTTTTATTTCACCATAGTCATTCGAATGAAAAAAAAACTGTAAATATAGATGCATATACAGTACAGTAATTTGCATCATCAGAGATAATAAGAAGACACACCAACATCAACACTGTACTGTACCTTCAAAAAAATCACCCTCACCAATTACAACTTGAATAAACTTTCAAAATCATCACTACAGCTCCTCTTACTCCATTTTTAATGGTGCTGGAGAACATGTTCAGCTATTGATGATGATGGAGCCTTATTGCACCATTTTCACTGTGCCACAAAAAAACACTATGCTTTATTATTTTACCATAGTCATTAAAATGAAAAAACCTGGAAATATATACAAATACAGTAATGTGCATATCATCAGAGACAATAAGAAGAAACACAAACATCAACCCTGTACTGTAAACCTTCAAAAAAATCACCCTCACCAATTACAACTTGAATAAACTTTCAAAATCACCACTATAAGCTCCTCTCACTCCAGTGTTGATGGTGCTAGAGAACATGTTCAGCTACTGATGATGATGGAGCCTTATTGCACCATTTCCTTTGTGCCACAAAAAAAAACACTATGCTTTATTATTTGACCCTAGCCTTTCCTGAAAAACCTGTAAATATAGATGCTTATACAGTACTGTGTATCAGAGACAATAAAAAGAAACACAGTACAAAAACCACCACAATGGTGGTAGTGGTGGCTTTCAAATCAACCACTACCACCATAGGCACCTCTCTGTATATATAGTGGTGATGGTGGAAAGGATGTACAGCAAGTGATGATGAAGATGGACTTTTAGAATTTCAGTGCACCAATTACAGTGTGCCACTAAAAAAAAACCCCCACTGAGCTTTATTACTTGACCATATAGTCACTCATCAAATACCTGTAAATATATATGCATATCAGAGAGAAGAAGATACATCACCAACTTACACACACAGTGTTTTCAAAGATTACCTTGCCCCTGCTGAAAGTAATTTGAATTCTCTTGCAAGACCATCACAATCATGTACCTCAAAATAAGTCAGAAGACACAAGCACCCACTGACACTGGGTGACCACCAATGATTCACTATAGTGTTGGTGCAGTACTTTGGAAGGGTGTCATGGCACAATTTTAAAAATCATTTCAAACCTACCACTTTGTTTTTTTTTCTTCCATACAAAAATTAAAACCCCTGAAATATCTACCAATGAAGATACATACATGTCACAGGAAAACAACTGCCACTTTTACAATGTGTCTCCAAAAATTACCCTTGCAAAATACTGTACAATTGGTATGGCCTTTCAAAACCATCACTAGCATGTACAGTATATCCAAAGGCAGATAAGACACCCAAAGATACATGGGTACCACTTATGGCTCCTAATACCGCATTCACACTGTTTCTCCAAGAATGATCCCAAGTGAAAATCATTTGAGTTTTTTTTTCCAAACTGAACCCCACCAATACCACTATGGACACCCATAAATAAGAGAATACACCCATGGAAACATGTTTGCCAACAATAATGGCTCTGTTTGCAAGGTGTCTAATATTGATGGTTTAATGACGGTTGTGCTGAAAGCTTTCTTGTAAAAAAAAAATTTCAAACCAATTTTTTCAGCGCAGACAATATTGAGTGTACACTTTAGTTGACCATACAGCCACTCCCAGAAGTTCTTGAAATTACAGATGCATGCATAATTTTAAAAGAAGAGACATCAAGCTACCAACATGTTTTCCTAAACTTTACACTTTGTCAACATCATTAAGATTAAGTTCAAGTACTGCACTTCCATCCACATAACAAACATTCACAAACAACAGCAAGAAAAAAAGAGAGAGAGAGATATCCACTGAAACTCTCATAAAATTTGAATCCTTGCCAACATCATTCAAGTTAGCTTCCAAAATAACAAATACTATAGTAAAAAAAAATCCACTTAGTTATGGCCACACCCACAATCTCAGATGAAAAAAACACTAATGAATGTGCAGGACAGACCAGAGAAATTGACAAACAACACTCAAGTATTTCAAAAAATGTCAAAGAAAAACACTGCATCTGAATTTAGACTATATTATAGTCTATATTATATATTATATATTATTATATTATATTATTATAAACTCATAATCCCACCGCTGCCACCAGTAATTGGGATTATGAGCTTATTCTCTCTTTTTGGTTTAGAGTAAGTTAACCACCTCTTGTTCCAGAAGATCATCAGGTTAACAAGAATAATTGACCTTCACTGGTCTTTGAAGGAACCTTTAAGAGGTTCCCCTACACTACAAGTGATATTTTTGCCAAAATTCATTATTATTCCATGATACTGTATTTTGTTTCATTTGAGCATAAGAAATAATTATAGTAGATTAAAAAATTAATCTAAAAAACCATGTTTTGAAAAAGGAAAAAATAACCTTAAATGTGGTGCGCATATATTTCATTTGTATTTCACTTCTTCCCAACAATTAGCTAGTCGGGAAGTGAGCGAAATTTGAGTTGCAAAATTTGATCCGGACAAACAAATGGACAAGAAAGCGAGTTAATAAAAACGTGTTAATTAAAATACTTCTCAGATATGGGGTTAAAGCAGCAGGGTGAAAAAAGTGCCTCAAACAGCAAAAAAAAATAAATAATGGAAATTTCAAACTTCAGTTCTCTGGCTCAGGAAAATTTATGCAGAATGGGCTTATAAATTATGGGCTTTCTCATTGTATTGCTTTATACAGTAGTTGAATTAAAAAAGTTCTAGAACACAAATTAGGAAATTGAGGGGTCCCATTTCTGCCAATAATTGACTGTTTAAAAACTTGGTAGTGAGGATAATTTAGAAGTAACAGAAATTTAGACATATTTTATATTTATATATTTTTGAATACTATCCCCAATGGACTCACTGGAGATACAATTACTGTATAGAGAATTTAGAGATAAACAGAACAAGTCATTAATATTTATTCAGAGAACAACTACCACCACTTCACTTTATTCAGGGGTTTTTACAGTCTGGCAAAACAAGATAAAACATCAAAGACACTTTTATGGACACACTCAAAAGGTTTTCTCAAAGCAAAAGCAAAAAAAGCAATTTTTTAGGCGAGGAATTTTTTCATGAAAATTCATTTACATGAGCATTTTCAAGAACAATTATCAAAGAAATTCTGGTCAATTTTTCTCTGGAAATTCCATGTAAAATCAAATCAATGTCTGCAATTCACAAATTAATGCAATTCATCTAGAATATAAAATAAATTTTTGAAGAAGATTCCAAGCGTCGCAAAAAATAAATGAAGAAAACGTTCTGCAAATGAAATCTCTGGTAGCTTTTGGAGCAGACGTCAATATAAGTCCTATTATTAGTTCTCAGGGTGAGTCACTTGTTTTTCAAGTACTGTTCTCAAGTCACAGACAAATGCAGCACTCAGGTAAGGATAGTAAAAAACTAACATTCTAGAATGAAAACAAATGACTGGGCTGGCATTTTAAAATAGAAACAATCATAACAAGCTTTCAAGAATTTTTATAAATATTTCTTGGGATCAATAAACCCTTATCTATTTCTTTTTTTCTTTTCAAACGGAATTTAATTCTCCAACTACTAAATTCCCCAAAAAATATATAATCTAGAAAATTAAAAAAAAACCAGGAAAAGGTGATGAAATATTTTTTGAGTAACCAAATATTTTTTAAGATTCAAATTTCTACATGCCTTTATAATATCAATATTTTGAAGAGCAAAGAAATAATGAATGTAGGCAAATCTGGGTTCAAGTCTGAAGAAGAAAAAGAACAGTCTGAAAATGAGACTATTAAAATATACTTCCCCTTTTTTCTTAGTTTTAAGATGGAATTCCCTTCTCCAATCACTGAATTTCCAAAACAATACTACATCATAATCGAAAAAATAAAATAAAAACCAGAAAAAGGCGATAAAATAATGAGAACACAAATATTTTTAAGATTCAAATTTCTAAAACATGCCGCATATCAATATTTTGAGGAATTACCACTGAGTCAGACTTTGTGTCATGTTTTTGACGCAATTTATTGACCATCCCCAAATATATATAAATTGAAATTTTTTAAAGCAAAATATATAGAATACCCACTCTTTTCCCATGGACAAGTTGCTTTTCAAGGAAAGAATCAAAGAAACCACTCACAGTATTTGTAGTCAAGAATATAAAGAAAACATTTTGAAGCAATTTGAACAATGATTTTAAAAATTCATTTCTTTCACAATCATACATTCTTCCTCTGTAAATAATTCCCCTCAGAAGGAAGAATAATAATCAAAGACCTTATCAGTAATTCTCTGGAAAAACTTGGGACACATGAAGAGAGCAAGTCATGTGACAAGCAAGTGCACATTCCTGAATTCACTCACAGAGAGAAAAACACACCTGGCCACACATTCCAGCATCTTTTTTGTATGTGTGTGTGTTAGTGCCATGAA